TTTGTATATATATATATATATATATATATATATATATATACTATTATATATATTATAGGTTACAAATAAATATATATCCAAAAAAAACTTAAGACTTCATTTTGACAATATAGTCCATGAGTAAGTAAGCCATAATTTTGTCCTCCACACATCAAGTTCTTTGACCAATAGTGACATAGCGAAAGGCACCCGAACACCTGTATTGTGGAAAATCAGCCGTAGATTTCTTTTTTAAATAGAATGTGCCCTAAAACCGAAATGTTTTTCGAAAAATCTCATCGTTTTTACACTTTTGCCCCCGAATCCTACTGCACCATTGTACGTTCCGAACAAAAATTGATGGTCGTAAAGGCGCAGTTGCGTATGTATGATGTACGTTGGTGAGTGATACTGTTGCATGTCATTAAAAAAATTGTGCGTACTCATGAATTTTTTTCAGTAAGGCGATCAGGTTGTACAATCCGTGGGAAAATAGTACTAAAACCGACTGACTGTGAAATGCAGGGTCAATAAACAAGCCTTACGAGTCGAAACCGCCGTCGTGTATTATTAGAGCGTTTGTTTGTGAAATCGTCTAAACGATTTGGCCGAATAAATAAAAATGACAGGGGGTCAAAGAGCCAATGTTGAAAAACGCCATAGGAAAACAAATTATGATATGGTCCTTATTAGTCGTACCCATGGATCGCGTCCAAAAACGTATTTTTAGCTCGGAAAACACCAAAGCCGCACTCGGCCTTAATTGTGTTTTCACATTCCTTGGGCGTTATTCACAATATCGTGTTTTTTTTAGATCTCGGACAGACTCACATTTTGCCGGCCTCCGTGGGCACGGATCGAACCCATTTCGATCTCTTGGGTCACGCAAAAATAGAACCATTCAACATGTTTCATTACCGAAGGGTAAACATGATTTTTTTCAAGGGCCAATCCAGCCTTTTTTTCTTCTTTTTTTTTTTTGATATCGCGCAGCATCAATCTCATCTCAGGTGTTGTGCCTTTAATCTGTGTTAATAAAGAGGTTATTTATCCCGATCTATTTAGAGCGCCACCCTGACGACGAATTCCTTTTCGTTTTAGTCCTTTGTGTCATTATTAATTATATTTACATCTCTACAAATATTTTTATTTATATATATTCCCTTACTATTTAGAATCGCATTGCTGATAATAAAAATAAAGAAATCCGACATGTAGAAAATAGGTTTTCATTTTTGAAATGGCCTCAACCCCCCTGTTGATATTTTCGTCTGACATCAAAACAAAAACTTTCAGATTTCTTTCTATTTCATAACATTCCTTATTGTTAAAAATAAATTCAACAAACAAAAACGAGTTCGTTTGTAATTTTGGATAATGAAAATGTTCTTTTATCAAACATTGTTGACACTTTTGTCAATACAATGAACATTATTTGCATTTTGATACGGGCATTCCTCTGCATATAAATTGTATTTTTTTTTTCTTTACTTTTTACCACGGAGAATTGTTCGCAAAAGACGTATTTGATGAAAACTGTAAACAGAAAATAGTCCGTTCTAAACTTCTACTCAAATTTGAAAACTGTATTAGCAGGCTTAACGGGATCGAGAATCGCCGGTAGAATGTTCATAGAACATCAAGTATTTGAACAGATTCTTCTTAAAAAGAAGGTAATGGAGGCGTCGGTGGAAGCAACGGTTCAGTCGAAAAGAAAAATGGTAACTTCTTATCGACGACTTTAGGTATGTCTATTATACTAATAGAATAGATAAAGAAATAAATTCATAATAGATAAAATTTCATAGATAAAGAAAAATCAAACCGTAAACTCCTCAAAAATGAATAGGGATATTGCCAATTTTGTACTATTTACTTTCCCTAGCATTTTTATTTTATTTTTACTATACATTGTATTAAAATTTATTAGAAATTATTGGGTTTTTTTACTGAAGGAAAATTTAATTAAGGAATTTGGAAAAATAAGAAAATAAAAGGTTTTAATTTCATAATTTTGTTTATTGGACACAATAATTTTTTTGAAAAATTAATACCGTGTATAATGTCCTCTGTTAGCTAAAACCTGTTATGCATATTGTTAATAAGGTTGTCTCTATTTCATAAGGAATTTCACTCCAAAGATGTCGCAACGTTGCACTCAGTTGTTGCAGGTCAACTGGGTGAAGTTGGTGATCGAAGAGCCTTATCTACAACGCATCCTACACGTGCTCAATGGGATCGAGGTCTGGAGACAATAGGGAAGGGCCAGATGAGATATTGCCAGGTTTTCTAAGCAATGATGAACAACTCTGCCTCTATGATGCCTGATATTGTCATCCAGATATCGAAATTCCCTGCTGATGAGATCGGGCTCACCTGGTTTGAGGATAACTATCGATAATTTCTTGGGCATAACGGACTGCGGTGAGGTTGCCTTCAACAGCATGGACTCCAGTTCGTCCTCCAGTGTAAATCCCAGCCCAGACACCGCCTCCTCCAAACTGCACGAAGGGAGCACGTACTGGGGCATTGTACGCATCCGTTTTCAGTAGACACTTCCGCGCCTGCTAACACTATACACACAGAAAAGCGACTCATCAGTATGTATAACAACATACTTCTAGGCGCTCGCTGCACCATATTCTCCTGAGTTAGGAGGTGGCGGGCTGTTGCTGCAAGTCGTCTCAAAGAGGCATTCGATGCAAGACCAACTTCCCACAAACTATTACGAATCGGTTGTATAGATAAAGACCTTGCCAAAACAAGTACTTCATTTAGGATCTGGCGGGCACTATGGAAAGGATTCCGTCTTGCAGCAATGACAATATTTCTGTCCTCCCGCGCTGAGATCCACTACCAGGCAGTTCTTATTGGCAGTTCCTGGCTCTCGGAATCGGTCTAAGGCCCGGGAGACCACGCTCTGACAAACGCCAACTGCCTCTGCGATATCCACTTGCCGGTGACCTCGATGACTCATTCTATCAATAATATTGCTAATTTCTGATCCAACTAACTAACAAGAATACATCGGTTAATTTAATTAAAATTAATAGAATAAGAATACATTACAAATACCCCTATTCATTATTGAGCAGTTTATCCAAAAGAAAAAAAGAAGGACAGCAAAAAGGAAAGAATCAAATGTATTAAAAGAAAAATCTGGGACACAGATCCGGAGGGTGACGAAAAAGCGGATGAGGCGGCTAAGGTCGGACGTCCCAACCTCTGGACTTAACCACCTTGATCCAACCCCCTGCCGCTAAAAATTAGAAGAAAAAAATATTAAAAGAAAGTGGCAGTGTCGGTGGGCCGAATCGCAGAGCTCTCACGTATCAAGAGCATTGTCAATAAGTGCCCCTCGGAGGAACTGACTCATAGAAGAAAAGTCATCCTCACTAGGAATAAGCCACACGGATGTTTAATTTTGGGCCCAAACCCTTTATATTCCGTCATTGAGAGAAGCTTGCGTGGTTTCCCACTTAATTGAAAAATTTCATTTCTTGTCTCCATATATAGAGCGTGAAGAATGCCACCCCATATGAGATTCGTGCTTGAACATTGCAGCTTCGGGGACCCACCGTTGCCCCTGGTTGATCGAAGTTTGAAGCGTCCCCTGCACAATCGGCTAAAGATCTTTTTAGTGTTCCCACAAGTGTTCAATTGGATTAAGGTCAGATGACTGTGGGGGGCCATTCCATGACATTAAAACCACGATCAGCAAGCCACTCTTTGGTCAGCAATGGTTTCTTCATTTTTCCCGTCGCTCCGGCCTCACGCAAACATCTCCGTATTGTTTCAGCCCTGACATCGATATTATCATTATCACGCAGCCTACACTGGATTTGGACAATGTTGTCAACCTCTACTGATCGAATGGAGTGTATGATACAACGCCTTTTGGCCTCGGAAATTTTTTAGGACCACTCCTGTTTTTTTTAAACAACTATCGGAAATTCCGGAAGATCTTTTAAGTTTTATTATTACCCCCAATAGAGAATTAATTTTTTTTTAATTTCATGATAAAGAAGTCCTTCTTGTAGATATTTTATTATTTGATCTTTTAAAAATGTTGAAAATGGTAATGATAGTATGAATGCTTCATACTATAATTAAACGGAATAGACCATAACCGTTAAGGAAAGGAAATATTTTCAATATGTAAGAAAACTAACTAAATTGATGATACCTGACAACAAATTTAAGACGAATTAATGAATGGTTTTTGCGAAATTTGCATTGTAGTAACCCGAGTCACACAACTCACGAAGACTCGTAATAAACAGGCTCAATTCAAAGATGTAAACATAAATAAAGAATATTAGGGTGAATGTTTATTTACTAACAGTTCAACGAATTCAATCCTGTTGCTGTTGTTTGGGATTAAAAAAGTGGGATTTGCAAACTAGAGATAATAGAAAATTGTTTACCGATGTGAACAAATCTGAGTCACGTATATATACTGATGGTTTTATGTCGCTAGCGAGTATTGAGAGTGAATGTATTTAATAGCATGAATGAGTAGGGCTAAGTCCGATGGCGGTATATTGAGTATCCCATCCTCAATAAGGTTAGGTATATGATAGGTGTAAAGTGTAATGGAGGAATATCGAGTACTCCTCTACCCTAACTGTAAATGTAAATAAAGAATATATTTAAGTGTGTGGTGTTTAGTGACAGTTAGCCATTGATTATTTGGACCAGACCGCACCTCACGATCTCGAAATAAAATTTTAAGTGTGAGTAAGAACTAAATGCGTTTAATTTTAGGGACTGATTGCGTTGGGGACTGAAATGACTTAGCTGTTGACACCTATGTTGTCCAACCTCGGCGGACGGATCAGAACTGACTCGGACTGCCATCATCCGAGGTAGGAGATTATCGAAGCCTGCCGGTAATTTATTGTAAATTACAAAAACAGGAATTGCAGGTGAGAAGTAGTAGATAGGCTCAACTCTGCCCAGATATTTATGTGCATATATGAGCTTAAAAAAAAAAAAAACTGTATTGTACAACTCACCAGTTGGTGTAACATTAAGCTTAATGGACACAAACAACACGACATGGATTGTGAAAAACTAATGGTGATCTGTTTGAAAGTATTAATTATTGTTAACTGCATGCTAAAATCTAATACTATCCTATGTTTAATTTATCAATTTATTTAATTTATATATGCTTGTTTGCGATATTTCTTCAGCATTTCAGAATAGCGTGAAAGCTCATGAAATTTGATTAAAAGGGATCATAATTTCTTAACCTCGCTCTGCTTAAAAATAGTCACCGAGTTTTTCAAAAGTCGAAACTAGGATGAGTTAATAATACTAAAAGTTCGAATACTTCATCATCCTTCGTCCTCAACATAAACAAACCGCTTATAATTTATGGGATGTAAGTAATGAATCCTTCTTCAACAAGATAATTAGCGAAGAAATGTAGAGCAATAAAAACGTAATAAAAGTAAAGATAGAACGTCTGGATAGTTGGCTAAAATATATGTGGTTCGCATTCTCGGCGTTCCTTTCCCCCAAAAAGACGAATCTTCCTGGCACCGCTCCACCGCCTCCCCCTTTCAATAAGGGCCGCCTCTTCCATTTCATTCATGTAAATCCTGTTGTAAATACTTTTCTTCAAGCGGTATATTTATAGCGCTTTGCTCATTGCCTAATTATTTTCTCTTTTTAACGGCTCGTTATCGGCTCCTTTTCTGTTTCCTCACCTTTGGTTCAGAGGGGAAAAAACAATAAACCTATGCCAAATGTCCGTCCAGTTAATACTTTACACCGGGTGGTTAAGATCAAAACAATTCCTCAGCCAGCAAAAAATCCTGTTCTACCCTAAATTCCAGCATTTTTTACTCCTAACCAGCAAAAAATCCTGTTCTACCCTAAATTCCAGCATTTTTTACTCCTTAACCAGCAAAAAATCCTGTTCTATCCTAAATTCCAGTATTTTTTACTTCTAACCAGCAAAAAATCCTGTTCTACCCTAAATTCCAGCATTTTTTACTCCTCAACCAGCAAAAAATCCTGTTCTATCCTACATTCCAGCATTTTTTACTCCTGAACCAGCAAAACATCCTGTTCTATCCTAAATTCCAGCATTTTTGACTCATCAACCAGCAAAAATTCTATTCTCCACTAAATCCCAGGATTTTTGACTATTCAACCAGCAAAAAATTCTGTTCTATCCTAAATTCCAGCATTTTTGAATCATCAACCAGCAAAAAATCCTGCTCTATCCTAAATTCCAGAATTTTTGACTCCTCAACCAGCAAAAATCCTGTTCCACCCTAAATCCCAGCGTTTTTTGACTAAGTCGATGTTAAAATTCCAACATTCTAGCTTGGATTTAAAACAATTTGCCTTTGCAAGAAGTGCTCAGTAAACAAAATTCACCAAACAGGCTAAGAAGAAAACTGAGTCTGTTGATATAAAGTCAACTGGTTAAACATTAATTTACCACTAACTGATTTATTTTTTTAAAAAAAGTATCATCATTATTAAATAAAGTATATTTATAAAAAAACTAAATGTCAGTAAAATCCAGTTGATTAGACTGTGAATAATGGGCCTCAACTATACGACCATATTGCATCCTGTAAAACACCTCGTACTTAACAATTATTTATACCAATTTTATATTTTACTATTATTGTTGATCTTACAGATTTTTTATGTTATTGCATAGTTGTGTCACTGTAAAAGTTAAGGCTGGCTGAAAATTGCATGTCCCACAAAAAATTTAACACACCAGCAAATTTTGATACCCAGAGAACAAATTGTTAAAACCAATTTGCTGTAGCGTTTTAATCAATTATCTATAAACTCATTTATAATAATGCTAGGAGAAATATGGTACAGCACAACAGAGTAACCAAGAAAATATCAGTTGCAATATGTAATTATTAATAAAATATCATGAATGTTAATTATTGCTGAATTAAAAATGACACAATACTGTTTGAAAAGGAGTTTATAAAAATAACTGTAGTCAAGTTATTGCAAATAATGTATATAATTTTAGTTCTAAAAAGATAAAAAGAAATTTTATTAAGTGTTTCGGTCCCTAATCTAAAAACAGCAATAAATAGTTAAGAGCTATTAAAATATGCAAGGTTTCATTTTTTCTTTTTTCAGTTGTGTCCCGACTTTGATTAATAGCCTCAATAAATCATTGCAAAGTGTTGTTTGTAAAAAGATATGCCCTATAGTCTAGTAGCAGAAGGTTAAAACACAGGAAACGAGGATGGAGGGAGCCGTTTGGCTCTAAACTAGAAACTGAGGAATGTCTCTGGCATTCTTGGCACCAGCCCCCTCCAACGTGACAGTGTTTACTGGGGGAAGCACACCAGGTAGATCTGCTCTCAGATCAACCCAGCTTCTTGCTCAGTGCACACCAAACGGACGTAGGGTAGGATACTGGAAGTCGTCGATATTCCACCGTCGAAATGGGAATGGTCAATATTAACACCTGCCCTTTAAACACCAACGGTAATAAATGCAAAGAATTATTCTTGGACAGTTCCGGTGATAACAGATCTACAAAAATGTAAGTTTTTTTACAATTAAAATTTCTTAGAATCTTTGAGAACATACTCTGTGTAGAACGATTTTAAATTTTGTCCAAATTTATTTCAACTAGATTTTCTGTTGCTGAAATTGATTCTGGCCTTTTATTGTGTGGCGCATCAATGGTTACAGACAACACGTTAAAGAAGTACAACGTGACCTGCGTCATATCTGTCAGTCCCGAACTCCCACAAGTCCCTCTACCAAACAGCATAACAAGGCATTACACAATCAACGTCCGAGACACAATCGACAGCAACCTCGGTGAACACTTTGACAGTATTGCAGACATAATTAATCAAGTAAGTAAAAAAACTGTCCTAATTACTTACAAAAATGTGCTGTTAATTACACTTGGCAGAGTGGATAAACGGTTGTAGCATTGTTAAGAATTTACTGGTTGCACTCGGTCAATTAATACATCATGGTTTTGACTCTGTGCCAAAAAGAAGTCACAAATAACTCGTCAATTTATGAATGGGTGTTATATCTAAACATTCCTTAAAATAATTAATTTAACTCAATATATCTTCTAGGTACAAGAAGAAGGAGGTGTAACACTGGTGCACTGTGTCGCGGGGGTAAGCAGATCGGCGTCACTCTGCATTGCTTATCTGATTAAGTACAAAAATATGACACTCAACGAGGCCTATTGGTATGTTCACTCAAAACGGAGATGTATACGGCCTAACAACAGTTTCTTCAACCAGTTGATTGACTATGAAGAAAAACTAACAGGTGTGTCCACCGTCAAAATGGTTTATAACAAAGGGGCCAATGGTGTCATTCCTGACTTGTACGAATCAATGTACCTTAACACAACTAATTACACAAAACGATTTATTGGCACCAACTGATTATTCCTTATTTTTAAAAATATTTTGTACAAATGTAAATATTTTATACACACCTAACCATTCCAAAAATTTGTTCACTAAATAATCTTTACCTAGAAGAAATTTTAAAACAAATAGTAAATATTACTTAGTGTATTAAATAAGATGTGTATATATCTATTTTTTCTTTTTTTACTAAAAATTGACAATATTTGTATAAGGATCACATTCCAAGAAATGTTTTTTTTCTTGTTTTAAAACATTTGCAACAATTCCTTCCATTTTTAACAGTGTTTGTGTTCAAAAGTCTAAACTTTTTTTGCTGGGAAAAATATATTTTTGATTTACACAAGACTTTTTTTATTGATACCTGCAAACAATTCGAGAGCGAACTAATCATGTATTTATTAAGTTTTCTTATTAAAAAATTACAAGAAAATTCAATTGTATGCTTGGATCATGCAGTTAATGGTTTATTTTATTCAACGTTTAAAAAAGTCATAATGTCCAATTGTGTTTTAAATATTTCAAGTTTTTATAATTGAACTTTGAGGCAAAATCATAATTTTTTTTCAAATTGGCCATCATCAAACTAAAATTTAATTCATGCTGAACCGGCATTGAGCCAGACAAACAAGGGGTTCTTCACTGAAGACGGCACAATGCCGAAACGCATTTGAGTAGTTCACCAAAACTGCGTATGGAGACGGGCTCAATAAGTTACTCACAGACTCGCAGGCCAACTAAAATTTAATTGTTATCTGCTATCTTTTGGCAAACATCACCATCATAAACTGTCATAAAAAGTTTAGCATATTTTCAAATGGCCTAATCCAAACCTGAGAATTACTTTTATATGATTTAAAATAATTAAATTGGACAGAACTTTTATGGTAAAATATTATTCAAAAGAATAGTGGTGATATTTATTTAATATTATTATTTTGAACTATTAATATAAAACAATTATCCATGCTAAGTTAAGAAGGAAAGGGCTTTTCCTATACAACAAATTTGTTTGGTAAAAATTATTTCAAAGTTTAAATCCACTCTTTTTTTTTGCTTTTTTTAAATTTTTCAAGCAAAATTCCAGCAATAATTTTTGATAGCTAAACACTGAAACGACAAAGAGACAGCTCTTTCTCAAACTTATAAAGATTCCCAACTGCCATGCAAGACCCTTAAATTTCTATATTAAGAGATCCTAGACCTTCAGGGATCACTCATTTGAAATAGATTCCATAGTCTAGATCGTTAACTTGACAGCTATTTTCCCACTCCTTGTTGTAGAAACAAGAGCCAAGCCGCAAGGTGTGCCAATCTAAAAGTTCTAATTTTACAACCATTGGGGTTATTGCCTAATTTTTGCAATGTCCTTTGGCTAGCCGGTAAATTTATAATCTGACTGAATAAAAACATATAATATAAAATTTTAAAATATCCTTTTCAGAATACTTGGTGATAAAATGCGTATTCAATGCAAATATTAATATATTCGATGACAAAAAATCTGGACACTCATTTTTTGTTATTGATTTCCAATTATTTTTATCATTACATTAATTACAAAATACTTGTTTTAATGTAAACCAAATCAGATGTAAACAAGATCAGAAAATCCACCAAAATATGGGAAAATCATTTAATGATAGAGAAAATTAAACAAATAATTTATTACCTAGTTTTGCTTGTAACACTCTTCTGGCCTCACAGAGGGCATGAAGTCTCCTAAGTGTTTGAAGCTGTTCGATGAATGTTGGACGTGGTGAACGATGGCTAACCTGTCTCTTTATCATGTCCCATAAGTATTCCATATGATTCAGGTCATGAGGATGTGTTGGCCAATTCATTGTGGTAATCCCTACATCCTCCAAGTGACTCCATGTGGTCGAGCTTTATCCCCCAATAAATGAGATATTGCTCAAAGTTTCATAGATTTTTACCTGGGCTTCCCATGATCTCATTTTACTAGAGTTAGTTGGAATGAAATGGGAAATTGAAATGAGAAGTTTGTGGCATGGGCAATCGGAGTCATGATAGCTAAATTGGTAGAAGTGCCTGGTAGTGATCTGCAGGCCGCGGGTTCAAATCCCACTCATCACACTAATTTTTCAACTCATACTTTTCATAATAATTAAAGTAATTGAAACAACATTGATTAAAATTAACTAAAAACAAATTATTTGTCCACAGTTAGATCAACCTTGATCGTCTCTCACTGAAGATGATTTAACAACGAAACAAACAGCAAAATGATCAGGGATAATTGAACTGCGGATCAGTCGAACCATACTGAAAAGCTTTTTATTAACAATTATTTCATATTTATAAACATTTGCGTACAAGTTGTAAATATAGTGCAATAATTGAGTACAGGCGTACTACACAAAAATAATAATCGCCCAGATATTAATTAATGTTATACCAGCCAATTTAATCATGGAAGAATTTTATTTTATGTATATTATTGTGGTTATTCTAGATTTCTTTGGAGAAGTAAAACTACAATTATCATGGTTGCAAGTGTTTGAAGAAGAGATCAAACCACAGCTGCAATGTCCAGCTTGCAGACCAACCAAAAAAGCATCACATTGAAAAAAAATTGTGTTCAGAAAACAAACGATGAAAGTTACCATCAATTTAAAAAAAATTATATTTATTACCAATGGATTATAATTTTTTTCATGCTACTCAACTTGTACACAGCATGACTGATCACAACGATTGATGTGTTTTGAACAATAAAAAATGGAGAAAGGTGATTTTAAAGTGCTAATAAGCCGTAATTAAATGTAGTTATGGTTTTATACTTATTTACACATAAATGGATAATGCAATTTCTTAAATATGGTCTCAGTATGGAAAATTATTCTAATAATCACGATTGTTCCGTTGTTAAATATCACTATCACTTGGAATTTTTTAATATTTGTAAAAAAACTGGTTTTAAAACAAATTACCGACACTTTCTTCCAAATAGGTTAAGTACAGGGCCATGAAGTTGGCGATGAAAGCCTCAATGTGGAATATCACTTTGGAACCGAGGTGCATCTGGTACTCGTACTGCGCCGCCAGCTCTGCAATCTTGGTTTTTAACTGCATGTCGCAACTTTTGCCCAGTTCTTTAAGCAGTCCCTTAAAAATATATATATATATATATTTTTTTTTTAAATGATATGAGAAAATGTTCAAAAAAAATATATATATTAACCTTAAAAATTATATCGGTAGGGATCCCATGCACAAGAAGCTCGTAGATCCTAGTCCTGACATCCATCAGCTTTTTCGTGTTCTGTTCAGAAAGGATCAGCTTCGCCGTGTCACGCAGATACACTTGCCAATCAGGCTCCATCACCTCTTGGTCTGCTTCAAATGGATATCTGAAGAATTTCAAAATCGCAAAATAATTCTGGTCCGAATTAACAATCAAATCAATAATGAAAAAAACTCACTGATTAACTTTGCACGTTTCAAGCATGAGAATCGCCCTTCTCAAGTTCCTTTCACACTTTTCGGCAATCTTTTGCACCAATTCATTTGGCACGGTAAGACCCTCTTTTTTACCAATGCTCTGCATACAAACAAAATCTGTGAAAACGTTGATAGGACATATTTTTTCAAAGATAGTCAAAGATACCTGTAAGACAGCAGATATCTGAGGGACTGTCGGCGCTGAAACTCGGACAGCTAGGCATCTCGATTTGATCGGTGCTATGACCTGAGAGATTGAGTTGGCACAGAGGATTAGCCGGCAAGTAGCAACATATTTTTCCATAGTCCTTCTCAATGCGTGTTGGGCTTCTTTTGTAAGCCTGTCGACTTCAGTCAGAAGTATCACTGAAATCAAACGATTTTTCATTTCTACCCACACATTTAACAATTATATTCAGTAATCATAAGCAAAGGTTATATCCCTGATAAAGTACGAGAACGTTCATTCTATCTTCCTGTGTGAAAGGGTAGGTCATGTTCCAGGATAAAAGGATATAAAAGAACAAAAAAAAGGAAGATCCAAAGAGACAGCCTGCACATCTGTTCTGCATGGCACTTGAATAGATACCAACAAGCAACCCACAAATATTTAAAAAATACAGAAATAATAAATTATTATTATTATAATTAATTAATAAATAATTAAATCTTGAATTAAACAATTACTTTTTCTGTGTGACTAGCAGGGTGAGCACTTTGTGGGAGGAAAAATAAAGGGAAAAGTGTGAATTTACTTGAAAATGAGTGGATGATTATAATTAATATAGTTATTATAAATAATTAATAAATAATTAAATCTTGAATTAAACAATTACTTTTTCTGTGTGACTAGCAGGATGTGCACTTTGTGGGAGGAGAAATAAAGTGAAAAGTGTGAATTTACTTGAAAATGAGTGGATGATTATTATTATAATTAATTAATAATTAATTATTAATATAGTTATTATAATTAATTAATAATTAATTATTGATATAGTTATTATAATTAATTAATGATTAATTATTGATATAGTTATAATTAATTAATAATTAAATCGAATTAAACAATTACTTTTTCTGTGTGATTAGCAGTGTGAGCACTTTGTGGGAGGAGAAATAAAGTGAAAAGTGTGAATTTACTTGAAAATGAGTGGATGATTATTATTATTATAGTTATTATAATTAATTAATAATTAAATCTTGAATTAAACAATTACTTTTTCTGTGTGACTAACAGTGTGAGCACTTTGTGGGAGGAGAAATAAAGTGAAAAGTGTGAATTTACTTGAAAATGGGTGGATGATCTAAAAACATGTCAATGAGTAAGCCCTCGTCTATTGTGTCTGTCTCATTTGTTTGAAATATTATGTATAGTTACAAGAAATGAACGGATCTATATAGTGGATTTTTCTCCAAGCCCTGCAAAAAATGCTCGTCAAGAAGTGTAAATATTTATGGGACCAACAGTTAAATAGTTACTACATGCGGAGTGTAGAAATTTTTTTTTTTCAATTTTTCAAGATATTAAAAATATGTACACATATGTATATCAAATAAAATATATCGGGTTATCCAGAAAATAATGCAGGTTTTCAAGTTTCCTTTCAATTATTCCTCTCTATAATAAACCGTATTTGTTTGATAGATTATTTTGTACGAATGTCTCCTCTTCCAAACAAAAATGTTTGGCTACCTCAATAGTATTTTTTACTTGGGAATAATTCAGTTTTTACTAAGATGTCAATGGGTGATTTTTGCCTAATTTCATTTTAGGAGTTTAATATCATTTGGAATGGTGCCCAAATGGCCAGAAACATTATTAAAGTCTGATGGCAGTGTGATGGAGCACATTCAGAGTGGTTTAAAAAAATGTCAAAGGGGAGACTTTAGCCTTTCTTCCCTATATGGTGATGTTCTGTGAGTTTAGTCGAAGAAAATCCCAGAGAAACTATTCGAGAACTTGCAGAGAATCTTTCAGTTAGCAAATTGACCATTGCTGACCACCTTAATGTAATTGGAAAGGTGAAAATGCTTGAAAGTGTATATTCTCTGTCTGTCTCCTTTATGTCTTCGGTACACTACCATCACATTTGTTTTCACCTTATGATTTATATTCCCCTAAACACAGAACTACCGATTTCAGTCATTCCTTTTTCATTCATTTCCTGTTATTTATATTGCATAAATTAAAATATTAATAAAAATTATAAGTATTAAGTAAATTTAATTAAATGAGCATAAATTATTATTTATAGATTAAAAAAATATTATTTTTGGTGTAACCATTTCATGGTTGGTTAACATAAAAATAAAAATGTTCTGACACAAGATATTCTAATTTGGTATGATTTAAAAAGATAAATCAACAAAATTCTCCTTTTTTTGCATATTTTAACAAACATTCTGGAAGAAAAGTAGACCAGAAAAAGGTCAAAACATTGTCACGATTCTAGCGTTATAAAACCCTTAGATACCAGCTTTCGAGGAAATCGGTGTAAATTAATTTTTTGACTGATAATTTTGACAACCTTCTGCATGACTGACATTCCTAGTGCAAGATCTAACATCCTTTTTCTCAATACCTAGGAGATCAATTTACATGGTTGATAATTTGTTTTAAAGAATTTGTAATGTGCATTTTATAACTGTATCAAACATTAAAATCATACTATTATTTCCATTAAAAGAGGTAAATTTTTGACAGATAATTATCCTATTTTGTGCATTTTCTTATAGAAATCTTTTAGATATTTTTATGATACATATGTCGTTCAAAAGCTGCATTCCTCTTCTTTCAAATGGCATGTTTGACATTAGCTTCTAGCAATTTTTGAATTTTAACCATTTTATTCAATCAGATATTCCGATTAAGGCTTCTTAAAAATTGGAAAAATTATAGTGGTCAAAAAATTGATAAAATTGAATTCAAACAAAAATTTTAATTGAAGTTACTAGAGGTGCTAAAACGAAATTTTATGTTAGTTTCACAAAGAAATTAAAATTGCGACCAAGTTTACTCGAAGAATATTTGATTTTTTGTCATTTTTGGGTTACTAATAAACTTTGATAACTTATACTATAATTTTATTGCAATTTACATAAAAAATACTGTAAAATGATATATTCACATAGTTGATTTGAGCAAGTAGAATGGCAAAGTAAAAATATTAAAAAATAATAAATTTTGTGATATACTTTGATAGCTTTGACTATATTTTTATTGCAATTTACATTAAAAAATACTGTAAAATGATATATTCACATACTTGATTTGAGCAATTAGAATAGCAAAAAAAAATTAAAAAAAAAAAAAAAAACAGTAAATTTCAGCCTTCAAAAAAAATGGTGAAACTAGGGTCTATTCACAAGAAGTGGCGGATACGTTTCTGATCCTTTGGAGCATAGAAGTACTAAAAAATATTTGGTCCAAATCCATGACACACCAACCTAGTTGTCCCCATTTACTACTAACAATACCATCTCTTTTACGGTTAATCACACTTCTGCTAAAAAAATTAGAACACTTTTTAATAATTGTATTAAGTTCACAAAGAAGACAGCACATCTCAACACCTGACAAGTTCGTTCTGTGTATTAATTTATTTGATTACCTTAAGCTCCGATCTTTGATTTACTCATTTAAAATAAAAAAATAAGCTCTGCCCATCATACTTATTCATTATATTCTATTTTATTTCTTACTGTAGTTTAAATATTATAAAAAGCTTCTAACATGGATTCAAATCTATAATGATTTATTTAGAGTTTCTGCGGATGCGTCTGTAGTTATATTAGGTTGGCCAACCCCCTTCGGGCTTTCAATTTTTTTGCAAACAATCCACGATTTGATCAAACTAACATGATTTAACATGACCTTATTGTTATTCCCTTTTTGTTCTTTCTTTTATACTTTTCCTTTATACCAACTTCTCTCCTTCATTCATAGTCAATTAAGCTAGTCATACAAATTTTGTTTATTAATTATTATTTCTTCTATTATATTTTGTAACCTTTTTGTTATTTAATTATATTTTTCTACTTGTACAGGGGCGAAGCCCTATTATAAAAATGTTTTGATAAATGTATTTCTATTCCTATTAATTACCTTTAAAGTCTCTCTGTCCATTTGGCTCCAACTGATGGGTTTGTGCAGAGTTTTTGATCAACTCCATTATGACTATCCTATCATAAATTCCAGCATCGCTTGGATTCACCTCGATATGATAGTTGCTAGCAACTGTGATTATATCTAGCTTTTTGTTCGAAGGTGTCTACAAATCGGTAACTGAATGTTAAAAAAAACCTTTTTAAGTTTACACCGATAAAAACATACTGTGAAACTGAGCTTTTCCATCCTAAGTCTTTCAACGCCAGGGCCGTACAATTCTTTCAAAAGTGCCATGATCCTTGTCTTTTTACCCGAACCGGAAGGACCGTAGAAAAGAAGATGAGGAAAGTCACCTTGATTTACCTGGAATTTAGTTTTAAAAAAGGCGTAAATATACAAAAAAAAAATCAGTTTAAACTATAATTACCAGGTTTTTAAGGTGTTGCGCTTGTTTCAAATGGTAATCCAACTTCTGCAAAGAAGTAGGCCTGTATTTGTCCACCCAGAGACTCATTTCGAATATACTTTAAGTATCCTCGATAATTTGAAAATTTATATCAAATACCCGGCAAACAACGCGTTCAAAACTTGCATAACAAAATAATCGTTAACAGTTAATTGTGAAACAAGGGAAAATAAGAAGAAAAGAATAGCACAACTGGATAAGTTAGAAAATAGAAATAGAAACCCGATAAGAGCGGGAAAACCACGTTATCGCGAACATCGATTGTAAAATTAAGTATCGATAATGAGATGATAACAAATTTTAAAAGTTTTTACTAATAGAAATGATGACGTCATTTATTGTACTTCGGTTAATTAAATATTAATATTTAATTTTACAATATATGTATTTATAATAATTGACATATAACATAATTGACCGTATTAATTATTTTAAATTAATTACAACAGATTAATTATATGTTTTATCTAAAGTTTTGGTTGAGATGAAAAAGCTACTGGTTGGATCCCTCTCGTGACACAGACACATCTCAGCCAAGTTCTTAGATAAAAAAATATAATTAATTTAATTAACATTTAAGAAAAAGGGCTACAAATTGTAAAAACTAATTTTGCAATTAGCTAATTAAAGAAATTAGTAGAAAAATATTGGTTCCCAAACTCAGAATTCACAAAAACTTTGCGGCACAACCAATATAGTAAAATTAAAAACCGCTTTAATTACCGCTATAACATTTTGGTATATTCGTTATTATTATCCTGTATATAATTTATGTCACTTTTGTTATTTAGTCACTGAAAATGGTCTATGTTAGACCAAAACGCGTCTAACTAAATAAATGCCTATTGTGGTAAAAGGAATTTATTTCCTACCCAACAATTTACTGAAAAAATATGTGGTTTCATCAATCAATTAAAAATAATTAATATTTTAAAGAATATATTATTGTCATTATAGTTTTGCATATTTTATTATAAACTGCTCAAAAATTAATAAGGATACTTATTGTTTATTCTTATTCTATTAATTTTAATTAAATTAACCGATATATTATTGTTAGTTACATAAAACAAAATAGAAAATTCAATTTATACTGGAGGAAACACCGGACTCCATATTGTAGAAGGTGACCTCACCGCAAGAAATTATCGAAGAATAAATCTCTCAAACCAGGGATGCATACAATGCCCCAGTTCGTGGTCCTATCAGTGCAGTAGGAAGGAGGCAGAGTAATGGTCAGGGCTGGGATTCACACTGGAGGGCGAACCGAGTCCATATTGCTGAAGGCAACCTCACTGCAGTCCATTATGCCCAAGAAATTATCGAGGAATCGAGGCACGGATTTTTCGATTTCTGGATGACAATGCCAGGCACTATAGAGGCAGAGCTGATCATCAATATTTAGAAAGCCTGGCAATTTCTCATCTGACCCTCGAGCATACGTGGGATGTATTGCAGAGTGGCTTGCAGCCAGTTTACCTGCAACAGCTGCAGAGTGCACCGTTGCAACATCTACGGAGTGAAATTCCTTATGAAATTAGTGACAACTTTATTAACAGTATGCCTGACAGGTGCACAGAGGTTTTAGCTAAGAGAGGACATTAATTTAAAAAAATTATTGTGTCCAATAAACAAAATTATGGAATTATTCAAAATTCCTTAATTAAATTTTCCTTCAGTTAAAAAAATAATTTCTAATAAAGTTTGATGCGATTTATAGTGAAAATAAAATAAAAATGCTATGGAAAGTAAATAGTACAAAATTGGCAGTATCACTATTCAGAAATCGTGAGATGCGGTCTGGTGTGATGTAGGTTTCAGAAAAACATTGTCTTTATCCTGCCAAACGTTTCGATCTTTATTGAGATCATCTTCAGGGCCTGGGATTTACAACCATTGTTTAAATTTAACAAATACATGTAGGATGTGGAAAAAAGTGAATTTATACAATGCAAAAAAATATATTTTTTATATTCGATCAAAGTATTTCTACTCACTCAGTGTTTGTTTTCTGCGAAAGTATGCCATTCTTGTGTGTCGTGTTGAGAGTTCCAGTGCAAAACATATATCGAAAATATTGACACATATATATTTTTTGCATTGTATAAATTCCCTTTTTTCCACATCCTACATGTATTTGTTAAATTTAAACAATGTTTGTAAATCCCAGCCCCTGAAGATGATCTCAATAAAGATCGAAACGATGGCACGATAAAGAACGTGTTTTTCTGAAACCTACATCGCACCAGACCGCATCTCGGAATAATTGTCGACTAACAGTCACTAATCACCTCTTCCTATTCATTTTTGAGCAATTTATGTTTTATTATTATTGCTGTTATTATCATTTTGCTATGTTTATAAAACTTTCTTTCTATTATAAGTACATAGAAGGGTGATTAAAGCCGTATTTGCACCTTTAAAATAAATAAATATTGTTACAAATTGAACTTGAATTGAAAAAACTTTATTACACTTAAAAATTGTTGTTTTGCTTATTATACAATGTATGTCTTATGTTAAAAGTATGTTTTTCTATTGTAATTCTATGGTCTGATGAAATGAGCACTTTGTGAGGGATTGAAGTTGCGAAAGGGAAGTTTCGTTGCGAAACGAGTGGAGGGAGGATTGGAAACACTGGCCTAGAGAGTGATTATCCTGGACTTGTCACTTCGTCCTTCTTCTAAGTTCTAGTTACTTCTAGTCAAATATAACCAACGGATATGATAGGGACCGGATTAAATGTAGTTTGAAAGGACAGACCTGTAAATCCAGGGCTGGTGGATTTGGGATAACGCCGTAGCCGTTATCTTAAAACGTGCAGTCCATTTTTTTTATTTGAACTTATCATCCGTTGGTCACATCGACTGATAAGGAGTCTGTCAGTGTGGTCGCTCGCCGCCTCCGGGCCCGGCCGCCTTCGATCCGTTCAACACAGAAACGAGAAGAAAATGGGGCCGATGATTTAACGGATGGAATGATGACACTTCCGGCCAACTCGCAGAATGGCAATCATCAACCGAATAACTCAGCGCTGGATGTCAGGTAAAAATGTACATCATCACAATGCTAGCCGTTATCGATCATTTAGGCGATATCAATGGAGATGGTTTATGTCACGACCAAGACGTTTTCTTTAGCGAACTACCAACACTTACAAAAATAAAACGATCAGACATTTTATAAAGCTAAAAATGAAAAATGGTAGTTAAAGTCGATGTATGACCTATTTTGCTGGTTATTATTTTGAACCATCTCTTGAGGTAATAAATCGAATAATTGTGGGACTTTATTATGTTGCTTCGTTATTACAATACCCTGCCAATTGAATGAATTTACGGTGGACATGAGACAGTTGGAAAGGAGAACTGATGGCAGAGGCACTCCACACCGAGTGGGAAGCAAAGGTGGAGGCTAGTCGTATTTAAGTTTAACTTAGCCTATTCCTTACCTGAAGGATGTGCATGTGCATTCAAATCCCTCCAGATGGAGGTTCAATCCAACCCAGCTTTCCGCCGGTGCAGACCATGAGAGCCCCGATTCAATTCTCAGCGTCTTATGAAGGGGCCACGGCAAGCTGTTAGTGAAGAAATGCTTGTTTTACTTACTAAATATTATCCATTTAGGTTTTGGTTGAGATGAAATTGTGGGGTTCGATTCTCACTTGTGACACTAACTTTTTCGTCTCAACCAAGACATTGCATAAAAAGAATAATTAATTGAAAGAAGTAATTTGGTCAATTAGACCACTAAACATAAATGGATTAATATTTAGTAAGTAAAAGCACTTCACTAACAGCTCCCCGTGGCCATTTCATAAGTCCCTGAGAATTGAATCCCAATTACACAGCATTTGAAAAAATGGCAAAAAAGAGGAAAAATTTGAATTTTTGTAGGTTTAGATGAGTTGGTGTCTGAGTGGATCAAGTCGTGATAGTTCAAGTGGTTAGAGCAGCAGCATATTGAGCCGAAGGTCGTGGGTTCAAATCCCGCTCGTGACACTAATTTTTTCATCTCAACCAAGGCCTTACATAAAATAAATAATTAATTGAATGAAATAATTTGGTCAATTAGACCACTAAACATAAATGAATTACTATTTTATAAAAATAACTTCCCCAATGATTAGATTTGAAATTGGGGGGGGGACAGAAGTCCTTATGTCATCTTCCCCCTGTGAACCATGGTTTTTTTTAAAGCAATGTTGGAAATAATGACCAAAAGTGTCTACCTGCAATTGTGGAATTGTATTCTTTTTGTCAAAGATCATGGCACATTTAAAAAAATAAGTTTTCCCCATCTTCTTTAGGAATTTTAATATTATATAAAACACTTGACAACAGAGCTCCTTTAGCCATCTTATCCACAATTTCATTTTGTCGAATAACAGCATGGCCTTTTGCCCAGCATAGCACAGTGATTTGAGACTTTTTGAGGTTGATATTAATGTTAGCAGGGTGATACAACTAAAAAATATTTATGTATTCCACATATTTAAAAAAAAATCTGATTTGTGTTCTCTAGTTAATGGAACGTTTCAAGTTGTCAAGAGGAATGTTGTCGGGTTGGTCTTAGGTTTTGAAGGCAGTGGATTCATCATTCCATTGGTTTTATTTAAGATCTCTCTGATTCTTGTGACTCTGGGTTTAATTGAATAAATACTCCTGTTTAGCAGCAAGGCTCCACTGGTTAACAATCAGTTTTATGCTCAGCGTACAGTCTTTATGAGGGAGATGTACTTGTTGGGTTGGTCTCGAAGATAGTAGATTGTTGGAGGCCCTCAGCTAATGATGAACCTCTGAGCTAAGACTCCAGACTCAGGTGACTTGCATCACTGTGACATCAGTTTTATTGCTACAATCATCATTATTAAAGTGCATTTTAAGTTCTGAAGATTTGTTGAAAACTTGTGAACTTTTATTTATCTGATCTCAATACATATTGTCAATTAATTAAGGTTTTTAGTTGAGATGAAAAAAAGTTAATGGCACGAGAGGGATTCGAACCCACGACCTTCAGCTAGATACGCCGCTGCTCTACCACCTGAGCTATCGTGACCTCGATCCACTCGGACATCAACTCCCCATCTCAACCTCACCTTATGAGACTTTTGACCTTCTTTTTTTCATCTCAACTAAAAACCTTAATTAATTGTAAAGTATTAATTGGTCAAGCGGACCATGAAATTAGTGAACATATTGTCAATGTTAAAAAATTCTTCAGTCATGTAATCCCACTTGTGATGTGTTCATTAGTGTTGGGTTGTTAGTCCATTTTTCCCATCAAAACCAAAATTCATTTAGTTTAAGTATAGTGTGAGGTTTTAAACTGGTACTCCAAGCTAATAAATAGAATGTAAATATAAAACTGTTGTACATTGACTTAAAATTAAAAAAAAATATATAAAACTTACACGGCCTACTGGCATTACTAGCTTAAGCCAACTTATACAATTTTTGCAGAGTTTACTGATTTATACAAAAGCTTAATTTTGCACATATACATACTGAATAGAACTCTGACTGAACAAGATGTGCTAATCACCTACTTTGTGTTTATACAGTCCAGAGGCTGTATATCCATCCTGTTACTAAACTATAGTTTAGATCCAGGGCTATCTACAAGTTCATTTCAGCTCCTATCACTTGCAGTTTGTAAACTCTCGCTCTACTTGACTGGGATACTCAATAATCCGCTTTTGGCCCTTGCATTACACATTCATACTAATAAATACATTCAATTTAAATATACACAAGGGAAAGAAAACAAGATATCTATCAAGTACTATAAGTACTATATATATTGGGTTGTCCGGAAAATAATGCAGGATTTTGGTATTAAACAAAAAAAAAGAAACTAGTTACTTTAAAGCAATGTTCTTTAATCAAAATAATTTCCCATACTCTCAATACATTTCTCCCAACGTGTTGGTAACTTATTAATTCCGTCTGAGTAGAATTCAGAATTTTTAGAATTGATAAAGTCAATAAATGCATTTTCCAGTTCCGTTTGATTTTTGAATATTATGTGTTGTAAGTAGTGGTCCAGGTGTCTAAAAAAATGGTAGTCAGTAGGCGAGAGGTCCGGAGAGTAGGGTGGGTGAGGCAAAGTTTCATAGCCAAGCTCCAATAATTTTTGTGACGTTACACGTGACACATGTGGTCGAGCGTTGTCATGCAACAAAATGGGCCCTTTCCGATTGACCAAAGAGGGCTTCATTACTGCCAATTTCTGATGCATGGTATTAATTTGGTTACAGTATGATTCAGCATTGATGGTTTCGCCAGGATTTAAGAAGCTGTAGTGTATTAAACCAAATGAAGCCCACCATACCGTAACCATTACCTTTTTTTGATGAGTTGGGGGCTTTGGAAAATGTATTGGAGCTTCTCCTTTGTCGAGCCACTGTCCAGAATCCACTTTTCGTCACATGTAACAATTCTGGCCAGAAATGGGTCATTTTTGTTTCGACAAAGAAGTGATGCACAAACATCAAAGCGCTGATTTTTTTGGCGATCGTTTAATGAGTGTGGAACCCAATTTTCGAGTTTTTTCACTTTTCCAATCGCCTTGAGGTGGTCAGCGACGGTCGTTTTACTGACTTTGAGTTGCTCTGCAAGTTCTCGAACAGTTGTTTTGGGGTTTTCTTCCACCACTGATCGCAGAACATCATCATTAAGAGAGGAAGGCCTTCCACGACCTTCTTCATCTTCAAGGCTGAAATCTCCCTCCCGAAATTTTTTAAACCACCTTTGCACAGTGCACTCATTAACACAACCCTCGCCCCAGACTTGGTTAATGTTTCTAGCCGTTTGGGCTCCGCTTCGGCCGAGTTTAAACTCGTAAAAGAAAATCGTACGAAATTCTCGCTTTGACATTATAAGGATGACTGAATTATTTCCAAGTAGCGGAATGCTACAGAGGTAAACAAACAATATCATTTGGAAGAGGATTAATAAGTGTTGACATTCATACAAATGAGTAATCCTGTAAACGTAAACAGAATATTTTATATAGATTTTTTTTAATGAAAACTTAAAATCCTGCATTATTTTCCGGACAACCCAATAATAAAACAGCCGTTTACTCCAAAAAAACAGAACATTGGGAAATATTAGGTGTTTTGACATTTTAGTCTAGAGTTTTATTAAAAATCTTATATAAAAAATAATAAATATATTTTTATATTCATTAAATAATGTCAGTTATAATTTTCACTCTATTTAGCAAATTTTATTACCCAAACCCTCCTCTCGCCAAAATATATCGAAAAGTTGACAAAACCGGTGAGACAGCGGGGAAACAGGATAAGTTAAAGGGTTATTTTCTCTATGCAGATCTTAACACATTAACCTCGTATTTTTTAACAATACAATAGTTCAAAAGCGTCACTCTAAAAAAAGCTGATTACCTTGAGAGTCTAGGAAGATCAATAGTGATTATTAATGTAAAAATAGCATAGACAATTGGTCAAATCATTGTACTAAAATGTATGTTTAAAAAATATTATTATTATTGAATATTTTAAATGAAATAGAAATTATTGAAAACATTAACCTCTAAAGATTTTTAATGTTGAATCACACCCAAACTGATCGTAAGAGTATAGATGACAGGCAGTTGTCCACTACATTGTGGTGCTTTAACAAGAACGATAGACCAAACCAGTCCAGGACGATCAGAAATTTACTGAACTAAAAGGTTCACCACACTGCACATCTTCAGAAGAAATTTTACAAATTCAGATAGTTCACTCTTTTTTTTAAATCAAATTTTATCCATGTTATACATAACATGTAACTATGGTAGGCGGTTTTCTTCTTAACAAAATAATAATAATAACAAGTCGGGCGTGAAAAATTATTTAAAAAGTTGAAAATGTTCAACCCTTTGTACATGTACAACTGATTTTGGAGACTGTAATTAATTAATCATATAAAACTAGAATGGAAAATTAACAAACTGCACTGATTGAGTTAAGGGCTGAAATGTCCTAGCTGTTTATAGCCCCTTGGATGCCAACACTAGGGGTGGTTCTTGAAGGCTGCAGGTAATTTATAGTTAATTACAAAAGCTGGAATTTCCGGTGGGCTACAAGAAGTGCTCAATTCTGAACATGCATATGCTTATATAAATCATTAATCAATAATATGTTTATAATCTTATTTCCTGCCCTTAGTTTTTTTTTTACTTTGATGTCAGGGACAGTAATTGATTTTAATAGGGTAATTTGATTAATGTTTTATTAAAAATTTTCCTCATCATCAATCTTAATTACATCCAATAAGACTAAGGGTAGGGGAAAAAACTTGTTGAACTTATCTTTTCATTGCCATAATCAAGGCTGTATAAACTTTAGTTGACACATTAAATCATTTATCAGGAAAATAATTTGAATGAAGAAGTTCTTTTGCAGAAATGTTCAGTTGAGATGAATGAGCAGTATGTAGTAACGATAATATTCTTCTTGTGGTGGTGCCAGTGGCTGCAACAGTTATGACTCGTTGCTATAAGGGTTCTAGGTTTGAAGCTCAGCCCTGAATTTAAAACTAGATTATTTACAAACGGGCTTTTTCTACAAAAACAATACCACAACCCCGGAGGTTTAAATGACCTCTGTCATATAAATTATTATTTCTTATATTTATTATTTCATTTTTTCGTCGCTGATGATACAGCAATTCTTACACACAATTCGGACCCCTCAATTAACACTCAACACTTACAACACCTGAATGAATTAACAATATGGTTCACAAAGTGGAGAATAAAGGTAAACCTAACAAAAAGCACACAGATCAATTTTACCTTACGTAAAAAAGACTGTCCTGCGGTGAATATAAATGGAATTCCATTGCCTACCACTGACCTTGTGCGTTATCTTGGACTTTTCATGGATAAACTACTGACTTGGAATCCCCATACAAGACGGAAAAGACAGCAAACAAACCGACGTTATAAATTGTTAAAAAGACTACTTGACTGACGATCAAAATTAGACCTTTTGAAAAATTTTGAAAAAATAAAAAAAAACTTTTAATTTACAAGACAATGATTAGACCTCTGGGCATACTGTTGTGAAGTGTGGGGCTCAACCAAGGATTCCAATTCCCAGTGTCTCCAATCAATCCAATCTAAAATTCTCCGTCAAATTATAAATGCTCCTTTTTACGTTTCAAATTACACTATCCATAAATACCTACCCATCCCCTTTGTACATGAACTCATCAAAAACCGATAAAAATTTTTTCATCAATCACTGAACACACACAGTAATCTATTCGTACGAAATTTGTCACTTCCAACCCTACCTGAAAATCCTCCAAGAAGATTGAAGCGAAAGTGGCCCCGAGACCTTCTCATTGTTTGAAGACTGAACAAGATATCAGTGTAAAGGAGTGTTACCACTGGGCAACTTCTCCTACAAGAGCCTCAAATGATAATTCAACATATACGAACATATTTACTTAATACATCACTTGTAGTTGTAAATACCAAATAAATGTAATAAAAAAAGACATTTTTTCGTTTTTATAATCAAATTTTAAAACTTTTTAATTTCTAATTATGGCCTATAAACTTGTACGCCTTATATAAAAATGTCATTATTCTTGGTAATTTTTTCATTTCAGTAATTTACAAGATAGTTGGTGAGGTAATGTAACTGTTCATTGATCGTCCCTGATGGTCTTGGGACAAGTGAAAAATTTACAATCAAGCTTCTTAAATGATAACATATCTGAATGGCAGAAAACTTACTTTTCAACACGTACATTTAACATAAATTGTTTTAAAAAAATTGTATTGTCCATGACACTGTTTTAATTGTTACAAAATTATTGTTATTTTTAATTGGCTTGACAATCGATAGTTTGATTGGAATTCATGTCCATTTATCTGAATTTTTTTGTGGGTTATATCACTTACTTTGTCTAGATCAAAACCCAATTACCATCTTTGCTTTAAAAGAGTAGTAAAGATGTTATAACGTAAAGAAAATTGCACGTAGCCAATCAATTGTATGCTTGTTACTGAAACAATTGTATTTATAAGGCTTTATTGTTTTACAGATTGTTTTGAACAAAGAATAAGTTGTAGTAAAAAGGTAAAAATTAAAGCAAATAATAGGTTGAAAAAGTTGCTCAGAGATGTATGTCATTTAAGGCAATCAACTGTGCCTAGTTTGCAACATTAGAATTTCTGGCCTTGGGAAGACTCACATACAAAGGATTTGGATTCTAGGCCTTTCAATACAAATTTGTTAAGTTGTTCATATCTATTTTCGCTGCCGAGTTTCGTGGTGGTCGTTTAAAAGGATTTATTAAAAATATAATTCCAAGGTTGTTTTAATTTTAATGGTAGTGTCATACATTTGATTGATGTGGAGTTATCACAGTGAAGATAAAGATAAATTAGGAAGTTTAGTCCATTTATTGATAATTGCATTGTTGAATTTTCATATAGATTCAAACTTTTTAAGAAGAGTAAAACAAATACACAAACGTGAGGAACTGTAGTTTAATAGAAGTCAATGGGGGGAATGAAAAAAGCTTGGAAGTGATATCAGCACAGCCTTGACAAACTAGTGAGCAGACACCATTCAGTCAAAGAGACAGTTTTATAAATGATTAAAGACGATCTTAACCAAGAGTATGTCATTAACATTGTAATAGAAATAAAGATTTTTGTTTATAGTTTTACTTTCTGTTTAGGTCGAGCAGCCCAAATGTCAGTCCTCAGTCCAGTCCTTCACTCCAGACAAAGAGCCCTCACCACAAGCGAGAATCATCAGTATCAAGTTCCAGAGAATCTGTCCCTGACAAGAGTGACGGAAACAACAAGGTGAGTCTTTCTATTAGTATTGTGTAAAAAAAAAGTTAATTAAAATTCTTAGTCTGCATCCGACCATGGTTCTGGTGGCGAGTTAAGCAGGAGCAACAGCCAAGACCCTGTCAGGGAGAGCAGAGATAGAAAGTTGCAAGACAGAACCAAAAAGAAAGCGCCCTGGTACAGTGCTCTCTACCCCACTTACAAGTCAAGGAGCGATGACTTTAAACGCTTATTCAAAGAAGTGCCTGCTGATGAACGACTAGTAGTCGGTAAGTAAATTGAACAATTTTTTTTTTTTTTTATAAATCCCATTTTTAAAGAAAAAAAATGGATATTAGTCTTATGTAGCAAAATTGGGGGAAATGAGGTAAAATAACATTTTTCCCTTTTACTATTAGGTATTATGGATTTTAATAGGTTTGAGTTGAAAAATATCTATTGGGTTGTTCAGAAAATAATGCAGGTTTATGGTTATAAAATGAAAACAAATGATTTTAAACATTTTTTATTAAACAAAATACCCTCCATCTCTCTCAATACACTTCCCACAATGTGATGGCAACTACTCTATAACATCTAAATAGAATTTTGAGACCTTTATTATTAACGAAATCAGGAAATACATTTTCTAACGATGTTTGATGAATAATTTTTTTATGTTGTAAAACAATGTCCAGGTGGGGGACCGCGGTAGCTGAGTGGTTAGCATGAGAGACTCTCACGCCGCGGTCGTGGGTTCGATTCCCACCTTCGCCTCTGGCCCTTTTTTCACAATAACCCCCCCCCCCAAATTTGAACACACATATATGAATTGTCACATGGCTAATATGCATAGTTCNGTCCCGAAACAAACTTTGTCGGTGATGGGATTCTCCGTCTAATTTGGGAAAATGGGCGTAGTTTGGACTTCACGTAAAAGGTGCAAAACAATCTCTTCATTATTAACAAATTCTGTAAAGACATTTTCTGGCGACTTTTGATCGACGAAAAAAAAAAAAAAAAAAAAAAATGTCCAGGTGTCTGAAAAAATTGTAGTTGGTAGGCAAGAGGTCTGGAGGGTGAGGCAGAAGGCAGAACACTCAAACCAAGATCCATCTTGGCTTAATTTTACAACATAATTGGTTTCTGATTATTCGGAAATCGTGAGATGGGGTCTGGTGTGATGTAGGTTTCAGAAAAACAGTTCCTTGATCTTTATTGAGATCATCTTCAGGGCCTGGGATTTACAAACATTATTTATATTTAACAAATACATGTAGGATGTGGAAAAAAGTGAATTTATACAATGCAAAATATATTTTTTATATCCAATCAAAGTATTTCTACTCACTCAAAGTGTTAGTTTTCTGCATCCACCACACATAATTGTTTTCTTTAAAATGATTATCCATTAAGATAGTTCGAAAAAAGGTTGACTAAACTTGTAGGAAAAAGCTCCTCATTTTTCTTAAATTTTAATTGTATTAATTGTTCAAGAACATATTTTATCATTGTAGCTTGATCAGAGATAATTTAGATTAATTGAGCTTCAGACCTTCACCTCAATGTTTATTGTATAAGAATAAAATAATTACAATGTCTCAACTGTGAATTAATTATTTTTTAACTTGTATTCATTGAAAAATATACAGAGCATAAATAGGCAATACAATTGAACTTAAATTTAATAGATATATAACCAACTGAAATTATGAAACAATTTCATAATCCTTAAGAAATGAAGGTTTAAATGATAATAAACAGACCTAGACAGTGATAAAAAGTTGGCTTAATAAACTTAGATAATTGTTTACTATAAAGTTAAGTACCTTTATTTAATTTATAATAAGAGGGAAATGAAAATTTGATAAGCTTCCAAGTAATATATCTGTGTGAAGGTCTTAGTTGGCAGTTGTATTAATATTCCTAAACCTCCGTTGTTTTAGACTATTCATGCGCCATTCAGAAAGATATTTTAGTCCACGGCCGCCTTTACGTTTCCCAGAACTATCTCAGCTTTTATGCTAACATATTACGTTGGGAGACTCAAGTAAGTCATGACAGGTGAATCCGTCTGATGCTCGTTTCTTAACAATTTTCGTTTCAGGTCTGTTTGAGATGGAAAGATGTTACGTCACTGACCAAAGAGAAAACGGCTCGCGTGATACCGAATGCTATCCTTGTTCATACCCATAATGATAAACACTTTTTGACTAGCTTTACAGCGCGCGATAAAACCTATTTGATGCTGTTTAGAGTTTGGCAGAATGCACTCATGGATCAGGTATGCATTTTTCAATTTACAGCTTTTTCTATATTATTAACAAAAAAAATCATTGCAGCAAATGTCAACACAAGAGATGTGGCAATGGGTCCACCTCTGTTACGGCGATGAGCTGGGCCTGACAAGTGATGATGATGACTACGTTGCGCCCACTGCCCCAGAAGACAAACGACCACTGATGATCAAGGCAGATCAAAATTTGTTAGACTCTTATTTAGAGGTAATTTTTTTTTTTTAATTTGCCATCGTTAAAAATGAATGTTTATGTTTACATTTTGTTTCACTAGCTCTATATTTACATTGTTCTATATATAAAAATATATCAAAACTAATTATGTATGTACAGCGCCCTCTCCCTAATTTTAGTTCTCCAAACTTTACAGTACTCCGAATTGCATTGAAGACGAAAACAAATGAGATGTTATTTTCAAGGAAGAGAGGATAAGAGAGAGGAGAGAGAGAGAATGAGTGTGAAAGAACGAGATAGAGAGTAAGTGAGTGAATGAGAGAGAGTAAGTGAGAGAGAAAAAGAGAGAGGGAGTTAGCAGAAAGGGAGAGTGAGAGTGAATGAAGGAATATCTTAGTGTAAACTATATGAATTTTCTTGAATGGGTGGGAATACATCACAACCCATTACTACTAAACAATAAATTTTTCTAGTATTAATTGTACTATACCTATCACATAAAAAACCGGATGAAAAAGAGGAAGTAGCAATGAAGTAAGCGTTACATAAAATATTCAAAAAGGAAAGAAAGGATTTTAAAAGAAAAATTGACTGGCAGCAATGTTCTCTAATAGTTTCGTGTATAGAAAAGTTGGTGTAATTAATAGTATATGTGTATGTAAAATGTGATGAATTTTTTTTTTTAATTTTTTATATACATTTCTTTGTATTTTTTTTAATATCCTCTGTATTCAGAATTTTTCAGTAATCCAAATACCTCTTCTACAACAAATAATTTGGATTACTGAGAGAGCTGTACAATGTAAAAATAACTCTTTTTAACAAACAGAGAAAACACAGTGTATACTAAATTATAAAATTAATAGATCTTTATTAACACTTCTTATTTCTGTTAATACATACCAAATTTAATATATTTACAATACATCTATACATAAATACATCAATAAATTATAATGGTATCAACATAATTTTTTAATAATTTTAATAATTAATCTCATTAAAATATAATTGATTGGTGGCAGTTTGACCTTAGACCTTTGGGAGAAAATCATTGTTCGAGTTCGGCTTAGCTTTTTATTTTAAAATTCTTTTGTTTTTCTACACATGTAAATATACAATCATTGAACTGTGAAAACGATTAATCTTCAATATTTCTGAAGTATTGTTTTATCTTATCTTTGTTGTATTAAGAAAAACATACTTTTGTTTTCATTTTGATCGGCTGTGCTTTATCGTATAATTGGTATTTTGTTTTCGAAAGTGGCAAGGAAATCCGCTTTGAAAACAAAAAATGTGTTCATTTCTAAAAATTGGTTTGAAGGTAATTCGACTATTGTTTTCCTGTCTTTAACTTTTAAAAAATTGGTCAATTTAAACATTTGGAATCGTGTTTAACTTGAGAGTGATTTATAGAGATAAGATTTTTTTTTTTTCATACGATTAAGTCTCCATTCCTCATCAATCATCATTAAATATTTTCAATATTGTGAAAATATTTATAATTCAATAATTGTTTTAAAATTTAAAAAAAGTTATGAACATTAAATTAAAATATGTGTAATTACCAAATGGTAGTGTTGTTCCTTATGGTAACACACACACACACACACTCTCTCTCTCTCTCTCTCTCTCTCTCTCTCTCTCTCTCTCTCTCTCTCTCTCTCACACACACACACACACACACACTCTATTTATACATCTATTTCTTTTTGTTTCTTTTCCTTGATGTATTGGATCTTCTTGAGGTCATTTTACCTGAGGTAAAATGACCTCAAGAAGATCTAATACATCAATTTAAACTACGGAGATCGATCACTATCAACTAGAATTTTTCTTTTCCTTTCTCACTTACTCTTTATCTGTGTTAATTTTGTTCCATGTGTATTGTTACTGTTTTTACTACATTGGTTTCACCTGCATGAATTAATCCACTAACAAATTAATATTTTATTTCATGCCTGTTTTTATTTTAATTTTATCACACTCAATTTTTAACAATAAGGAAATTATTTTTAATTTACTCATTTATTTTATTTTATTTTCTATTTTTTCTAACACTGCACTTCTTTTGTTGCTTTGTTTTTGTTTTAAAGGAGGGTTTTACAGTGATGAACATGGAAAAAGACCAAGTGTCTCTCCCTTCAAATTCTTCTTCTCCTAACTTGGAGCATTTGCAACAGCTCGAATCGACTCCATCTATGACACAACCCTTTGATGACAGTAATCCGCCAGACAGTAAACAACAAACCGATGATGCAAGCTTGCCTTTAAGTAGCAACACAAAAGAGCTGTTACTCCCGAAGAATGGGTCTAGCCCAAAATCGAGAAAAAAAACCTTTTTCCGCTCAGTATCCCTCCAGCCCAAATTGGCATGTACGGTTTCACCGCTGTTGCCGGACGAGTCTAGAGGTAGAAGCAAGCCAGTCACACCCACATCTTTAAATGAGGCTCTTTTTTTGAAGGACGGGCCCACGTTAACGGCAGAGGAGAAAAAGAGCTCCCTTGAGACTGGTGACCTTTCGCTTCCGCCACCTAATCAGCCTCCCACACCAGGGTCACCCTCCGACCATCTACCAACCGATCTCAGCGACAGCTCACCGAGTGAATCTGAATCTGAAAAACATGGTAAATGTTCTTAACTTAAGTTAACTTCGGTTTTCTAATTTTCAAAAGAATTACCTTTTGTACTCTAATTTCAAAACAGCCAATTTTCATCCTTGTATCATACAGGAGGGCTTGAACATAACCTGGGGGGTATCTTGTACAGTACTGTTTTTGAAATTACATATATTAAATAAAATTTCAAAAGCTATGCCATGGTTCAAAGCCTGAATCGCTATACAGCAAATAAAGTAGAATGTACTACAGCTGGGTTTCCATTGCACGGAAAAATCAGTCGAGCAACTAAACGCGAGAATCATTCGTGAAACAGTCTCGGGTTAACCATTTTCATGAGACGAACAAGGTCAGCAACCAGTTTGCTATCATGGCGACACTTTTTGTCTTCCCATTTTGATGCTCATTTCCTTCCACACATCCTCCCTCATTCTTGTTATGATGAGTTTTATCTTTAGCATCCCACAAAAATCGGTAGCTGTGATACATTCAGATAAGTCTAATGCAGTCCTGGTTCTTTCTCATACTCAAGACAAGTGCATTTACACAGAGATAAACAATACGAAACACTTCGATGCACACTAAAAAACTGACTGCTGGTCGGCTCACCCCGAACATTTTTGTGCTAAAAGTTTAGCAGTCCCAGCAAGGTTTCTGTAATTTGATGCAAGTTTCACGAAACCGTTGTGCGAGTGGTTTTCGCGGAGTAGAAACCCAGCTTACCACTTGCTTACTGGTGGTCACATCATACATGAAATTAAAAAATTTTACAATGAAATATATACTAATATTATTATATCAACAACAAAAATTTTGTTGCCCGTAGGCTCATACATCTTTGAGTTAGGTTCTAATAAGCAAATATTCATTGGATTTCAAAAAAAAAAGAAAACTAATGTGTAAAGTTATAAAAAAAAATTTATGTACAGGGGTACCTTGAGATAGGTGTGCCCCAATTTTTTAAAATTTTATTATTATTATTTTTATTTATTTATTTATTTTTGAGATAGTCATCATCACTAGTTTGAAATTTTGTCTGGAGTGTCATAACTACCACTCAGCTCAGATTCCGCACAATTGCTTGTTCACAATTATTGTTGTGTTATTTTTAATTTAGTTTTGTTTATTATGTGAAAGATTATTTAGATTTATTTAGCATTTTGACTTAGGAGCTCAGCCATGGAACAAATTAAACTCATATCTAAAGGTACCTCTGTAGATTCATTTTTGTGTATTTGTCAATTATCTTAACTTTCTCTACATACTTTAATAAAAAGCTAAATTTTTCTTAAAAAGTTATTTGGAAAACTTCCAATAATTGTTTCTATTGATGAACTTCTAAAGAAAGACACTAGTTATATTATATATTATGCTACTATACTTATATATTATGCTACTATATTATATTATATATTATGTTATATTACTTAGGAAGTGCAATCACCTGCCCAGTTATACACGAAGGGAAGCTCATGCTTCACATGCAAATCTCCATTCACGTTGACCAGCTATTTGCGCATTTGTTCACCAATTCTAAATTCTTCTTTGACCTTCATGAAAACATAAAGTCGACGGGTGAGTCAACTATTTTAGTTCTGATCAAATTCCATCCTTCATCTTGTTATCATTTCAGACATCAGACAATCAGGATGGGTTACAAATCCTTCCACAAACCAAAAAGGGCGGACTGTCAATCTGACCGTTCAGCTCGGCCAGGCGATCGGGCCCAAACATGCTCAAGTCACCGAATCTCAGGTACCAATTTTAATTTTAACAGTAAAGATCATTTGTCAAAATTGAACATATTGGGAGATGAATATTTAACAAAGTGCTCTAATTAAGAGGAAAAAGTCACTTTACCTGTTTTCTTTGAGCGTTTTATTTTCTCTCAAATTTAAAGGCAATTTTGAGTTCTAAGAACTTTCTTACCTCCTACAATTACTGCTAACTAAAAACAGAAAGGGTGGCAAAAGAACCATTGACTAACCTGTACTTCAATAGACTTACAAAACTTCTCAAAAAAGAACTGTATAGACTCACATCAGCACTGTATCATCAAACAACAACAAAAGATGGTTAAGAATGGTAAGTAAACCTCTTTCCACATCTTTCTTCTGTATTTACACCACACGACATTTGTGAACACATGCACATGTCGACTAAGACTAATAAGACTTTACTAATGCTACAACGTTTATCGCCACTTCTTCAGTCCTTCCAACATTGTGTACATCATAAAAAAAAGCTACTCAGTAAAGCTCCAGGATACGGCCTAATTACCCCAAAACTTTATGCAATTTACATAGAAAAGGATTACTTTATGATCACACCTAACAAACGAGTCCAACTTCCTAGTTCCTATCATCCTATCAGTCTCCTTTCTATGTTAGCGAAAGTAATTAGAAAACTCCTCCTTAAAAGATTAATCCCAATCCTTGAGGTGCATCGGTTTGGGTTTCACTCACTGTAGTGAAAACAGGATTTCTTGGGTGCCCAGGCTTTCAACCGGGAATGGCACCCAAGTTTACTGTGGAAGCTCAAGAAAATTTTTCTCAAGAACTTTTATCTTATCTTTCATCCTCCCTGACTTACATGGTAAGTCCCCTTTCTTTCTTTTATAATCCAGTAAGGTCTGGAGTCTCGCAAGGAAGTATCCTTAGCTCGATCCTTTTTGTAATATACACTACCGACATTCCTATTGGACTGGTGGAAAAATAATGCAGGTTTTGTAAAGGCAGACAAAATTATTTTTAATTGTTTAATTTAAATTAATTCACAATCTATTCAACTTTGTCAGCATGTAATATACATTTTTATTCGACTGATTTAAAAAAGCGTTTTCACCTTCACCACGTTCTCTAAAAATTTTATCACTCAAAAAGTGATCAAAATGACTAAAAAAGTGGAAGTCTGTAGGCGAAAGGTCGGGTCAATATGGAGGATGCGGTAAGGTTTCATATCCTGAGTCCTTAAGTTTCCGCAGGGTTGGCATTGCGACATGTGGTTTGGCGTTATCGCAAAGAAGATCGGTCCCTTATGGTTTACCAACACTGGACAAAGACAGTAATTTCCCGTGCATTTTGTCAATTGCTTGGCAGTATTTCTCTGCTGTGATAGTTTCATTATAATTCAGGAAATTATAGTGAACAATACCAGCAGTGCACCACCAAACAGACACCACAACCGTTTTTGGGTGTAGATTTGGTTTTGGGGAGTGTTTTGGTGCTTCTGACTTCTCAGTGTGATTTCTCCCATAATGTTTATCATGTTTTGCTATGAACTATCACATTTACTTACTGTAGCTAAAATGCAGGTATAAATAATAATAATAATAATTACAATTAATTAAGGTTTTTAGTTGAGATAAAAAGTCAATGGCACGAGCGGGATTCGAACCCACGATCTTCGGCTAGATACGCTGCTGCTCTACCACTTGAGCTGTCGTGACCTCGATCCACTCGGACACTAACTTCCAATCTCAACCGCGCCTTTTGAATTTTCCCTCCTTTTTGCCATTTTTCAAATGTCGTGTAATCGGATTGGATTCTCGGAGTCAAATGAAATGGCCACGGAGAGCTTTAGTGAAGTATACTTCATTTAAATTCATTAAATTCACTAATTTCGTGGTCCGTTTGACCAATTAATATATTACAATTAATTAAGGTTTTTAGTTGAGATAAAAAGTCAATGGAAAGTGCCATTTCATTTGTCGCCGAGAATCCAATCCAATTACACGACATATGAAAAATGGCAAAAAGGAGGGAAAATTCAAAAGGCGCGGTTGACATGGGAAGTTAGTGTCCGAGTGGATCGAGGTCACGATAGCTCAAGTGGTAGAGCAGCGGCGTATCAAGCCGAAGATCGTGGGTTTGAATCCTGCTCGTGCCATTGACTTTTTATCTCAACTAAAAACCTTAATTAATTGTAATATATTACTTGGTCAAACGGACCACGAAATTAGTGAATTTAATAATATAATAATAAAATGTATCTTTGGTTTCAGCCGGTTGATCTAATTATCAATATGTAAACTTTATTTTTATATAATTAACTAATAATTAATAAAAGTTCAAACGAATATTTCTTACCAAACTTTTTCAAGTTTTTATATCTTGTAAATAGTTAAGGATAAAACAGTGTAAAATTTGTGGGCAAATTGTGTTCTTGCTCGAGAAGACTGAAAAACATGCTTCATCAAGCCAGGTGGCCTTCGTATTTAGTCCCTGATAAGACCACTATTTTTAGCTACAAATGTGTTAAAATTGTTTTTAAAGATTATTATTTTTTCCCAGAAAATGTTACCTTGTAGTAAGCCAGGAGAGAGGTATGTTATCGAAATTGAAGCAAGCAATGCAGGGATACCGTATGCAGATGCTTTCTTCATAGTCAGTCATTATTGCTTAACAAGAGGTGCAGACCCTGGTACATCGAACATCGCAGTGTACTGCCAGATTAAATATCGGAAATCAGTCTGGATGCTCGCAAAAAGTATATGAAGTTACTTTTTTTATTCTTTGGAGTGAACATCTGAAAAGAAACAATAAATTCCTTCCAGGCTACATAGAGAAAAATTGTTGGTCTGGCATGGAGGAATATTACAATAACCTTGTGAAAGCGCTAGAAGCCGAGTGCGAGAGGACGAGGCGCGCGATGGCCGCTGGTGTTGCTGGGACCAAAAGGAAGGTAGGCAGGCGGAGGAGGACTTCGGCTCTGAAACCTCTACCCCTTCCATCGCCTGTGATCGAAGACAAGCCGTACATCCAAGCGCTCCCCATCCCAGCGAAGAGCCACAGCTCGAGTACAATGGATTCATTCATCTGGATAGTGTTCTTTACCTTGTTCGTACTCTTAGTGTTAAACGCAGCCTTGTATTATAAACTGTGGGGGCTTGAACAGAGTGAAAGGAATTTGTCAGATGCCGCAGGCGAGCTCAACTTGGATTCATTGAGGTGAGCAAATTTTTGCTAAATTTACCTCCTTACATTAATAAAAAAATTTTGGTTCAATTGATCCATTTTCCAATAAGTTTTTTTTTTAGATCAGATTTTATTGTTATTATAGTAGCTCATAAAATAAATATGTTAATTGGGGATGGAGGTAGCCAAGTGGTTTGATTGCCACCGCCGCCCCTGGCCTTTTTTTTCATGCTCCTCTTTCCTCTCTCCAAAAAAAGCGTATTAAAAAATATATACATGTTTCCTTTACTGATAAGCAAGATCATATGGTTGCTGAATTTGAACCTAGGACATTTATCCTACAGAGATGAGCGCTGTGTCAACGCCTAAACTGTCCAGCCACCCATATCTTCTCTAAGTTTTATTATTATTTGTATTTGTACTATATTCTTGTAATGCCACTACCTGATCACTCTTTATGTTGAAATTAAAACTATATCATTTTGAAATTAATAAAATGAGTCTTATTTTTCAAGCAGTAATAATTAAGATACTGAAAACAATGTGAATTTTACACACAATTATTTATATTTTAAAAGTTTAGTAAAATATTTTTTTTTTGTCGTGTAATTCAACATCAGAACGTTATCCGTTTTCCAGGCATGCGCCTCAGACACAAGAAGAATGGCAAAACCTTCTTAAACGTCAGGAGCAGCTGCATTCGTTCGAAGTCGAAAGGTGGCTTAGAATACTGAAAGCCTCGGTGCACCTTTTGCAGCAGGTAAGTCAACCGACGCTGTGACCCAGATTTTTTTGTTGACCAGAACGTTTTACAGGTTGAAAAATCCCTGAATGTACTACAGTCTAGCATACAAGGAGCCATAGATGATGGGATGCTCGCCGCAGATGGTAAGCCACAACACGAAAGCCTGCCTTCAGATGAGTTGTAGTCACTCTCCTGTTTTTAATATTTTATGCAACACCAAGCATTTGTCTTGTATAAACTAGCCATTTGAAATTTTACAATAGTACGGAAAAAATATTGATCCCGTTATTTGTCAAATCAACTTAAACTTGATCATGAATACCTTTTAAATTTATGTTTAAACTTATAAAGTGTGTAAATTTTCAATTATATCAAATAGGGATATATAAATTTAAAAACAAAAGTCATAGTGTTTAAGGTATGTGTGCAATATTTTCAGTTTTCTTTTAATATTTTAACTGTTTTTCCTTAAGGGTTAAAAAGTAGTTTTCAGTAGCTGAAAACCAAATTTTTCAGGAAAGGTTCTTTTTCCTTATTCTTGAGATAATTTAAAAGTGAATAAATGCACATATTAGGTGATATTGTTGTGATACTGCCAAAGCTTAATTAAAATTAATCCTAGAAAGAATTTGACAGTTGTGGATAACGGATGAAATTTTAAGAAATTATTGTATATTTCCCTTTGTGAGATGTGATGAAATTAGATGCCTTTCATAGGCTCATAAAAAAGTTAATCATAGTATTTGAACTATTATTAATTGTTTGTGTTTATATCGGTTAATGGGAACTTGGTTTCTTACAAATATTTGCACATATGCACATTGTTTAATACGAATAAAAAATTTAAAAAAAAAGCAAATAAAAAAAAACTAGAAATGAAACTCCATGTACTTCAAATTTTAAAATTAAAAGGGCATTTTTCAGTAAAAGCTACAGGTAATTATTTTTGTGCCAAAAAGTTTTGTTAATCCTACCTTCCTCAGATATTAAAAAATCTGCTCTTCCAGAATTTGAAAAAAAAAGAAAAACTAAATAACTACTATAGCAGCTTATAAAATAAAAGGAAAACTGTCAATCTAAAAATAGACAATAGGAAAAGGTCATTAGTGCCCAATAACCATGGATAGAGCACAAGATATAATTTGTATCAATTGTTACAAACATGTATGTATACACATTCCAAGTAAGTAGGAAAGAAAAATAGATTATTTTCGTTGTACAAATAGAAGAAAAAATTTATTTATTGTCTAGAAAATCCACAGGATTTTCTTCCTAATTTGTATATTTCTGCCTAGTACCTGTAGAAAAACAAATATATAATTTTTTTAAAACTTCTCTTTTATTTAATTTTAATACCTATTAGTGATTACTAATTGAAACTCGAATCTGCGGTCTATCAGCAATTACAGCTTTTGTAATTTACAATAAATTACCGGCCTCGAGAATCACCCACCTTGGGTATAGGCACTCCGAGGTCAAAAGGTTGGACTCCGGATGCTCTCAACAGTTCGGTCAATTCAGCTCCCAATGCATGCAGTTCTTAGATCCAAACACATATTATCACTCATTCTCTCCTATTTACATACCACTAATTAAATTACGGTAGTGGAGTCCTCACTATTATTCATTATCATCTACACTTATTATGTAAATAACTTTATTGAGAGACAATGGGGACTCAAAATTCCTAGACCATTTCACACTATGCATTCACACTAATAAATACTTTCCATTTATTATTTTCTTTTTTTAAATAAAATATTTCTTCTTTATTCTCTATAATAAAAAATAAAGTTTGTCTTTTGTAATAAATAATATTAAATTAGTTTGCATTTGAAGAAAGATACAAAAGATAATACAAGAAGATACAAAATAAAAAGAACGTAAACTGCTCAAAAAAGAGAAAAAAAAAGATATTTGGAATTTATTCTTATTCTACTAATTTTAATTAATCAGTATTAAGTATTAAATCTCCTTTAACCACGGAAAGACATCACCTTGAACCAGAAATTAGGAATATTATTGTGAGAATGAGGCATTGAGGTCACCGGCAATTGGATATTGCAGAGGCAGTTGGCGTTTCTCAGAACATGTGGTCTATCAGGCTTTAGCCACTGAGGAGAGACTGGAAGTGCCAATAGGAGGCCTGGTAATGGATCTTAGCGCAATACGACACTAAGGGAGGTCAGAAATATTGCCATCACTGCAAGACTGAACCATTTCCATAGTGCCCGCCAGATCCTAAATAAAGTGCAAGATGTTTTGGCAAGGGCTTTATCAACAAACGATTCGAAGTTGGCCGCACATCGTATGCCCCTTGGAGACGACCTGCAGCAACATCCCTCAACCAGCAACTCAGGAGAATCTGGTGCATCGAGTGCCTAGAAGAAAGAGAAAACCAATTGGAATGCTGTTATGTTTACTGATGAGTGACGTTTCTGTCTATATAGTGATAGCAGGTGCCTTAGAGTCTGCTGAGAACAGGGGATCTGTGCAATGCCACAGTTCGTGCTCCCTTTAGTTCAGTTTGGAAGAGTCGGTGTAATGGTCTGAGGTGGGTTTTACGGTGAAGAACGAACTGGAGTACATATTGCTGAAGGCAACCTCAACGCAAGAAATTAGGTAGAGAGGAATACATCTCTCAACCCTCATTGGCAGGTATTTCTGATTTCTGGATGACAATGCCAGACCTCATAGAGGCAGAGTTGTTCTTCAATGTCTAGAAAACTTGGCAATTTCTCATCTGCCCCTTCGCCATTGTCTCCAGAACAAAATCCTATTGAGCACATGTTGGATGCGTTGCAGAGATGGCTTTTTGATCACTATCCACTGCCAGTTGACCTGCAACAACTGAGTGCAGCGTTGCGACATCTGAGTGAAATTCCTTGTGAAATTAGTGGCACCTTATTAAGAGTGTGCCTAACAGATGCACAGAGGTTTTAGTTAACAGAGTACATTATACACGTTATTAATTGTTATAAAAAAAAAAAAAAAATGTCCAATAAACAAAATTATAGAATTTAAACCTTTTATGTTGTTATTTTTCAAAATCCCTTAATTAAATTTTCCTTCAGTAAAAAACATAATTTCTAAGAAATTTTAACGCAATTTATAATAAAATAAAAATGCTAGGGAAAGTGAACACTACAAAATTGGTAATATTCCCATTCATTTTTGAGCAGTTTTTTGTTCAAAATATGGTGGGGCCGTACATTGAAAGTATAGACGGTATACACATAAATTCAAGTAGGCATGATAAAATAATAAAGTCACATATTTCAATAATTTTATGAAAAAATTTATTTATTTTAAATTATAATGTGTATTGATAATTTTTATTAATTAATTATTCAGAAATTTAGTTTCAACATTTCACCGTATTGGCGTATTATCCAGGTGGCATGTGGTGAGCCGAAGTTCTTCGTCCATTTTGTTCGCATCAGACTTTCCGTAGTGTTGTTCTCGGTGTCGTACTCAGGTGAGATATTTAACATATTTCTTTTTATACCAATGGAAAACATTTCTCGATTGTTTCCTTTCGCCTGTCGAATATGTCTATTTCGTTTAATAAACAATTAAACGCCGATTTCCAAACGGTGCCCAGATATCTATCCTCGCCACGTGCCTACTCGGCCGCATGGCTTTTGTCACTTTTGACAAGTATTTCCTCAGACCGGGTTGAATTTTTGAGTTATAACGACGTTCTGGAAGTAATTAGTTAAATAATAAGTTACGTTTATATAATCGTGCAAACCCATGTTCGTACAGGATGATAAATGGTTTCTGGGGTATGGTTATAGTGTGGGTATTGAAGCTCCAATGTAGACTATGATCTACATTTGTTTTTTTTTAATGTGCCGTCTAACCGAAAACAATTACAAATTTGCTTCACCCGTTTGGGTAAATCAAAAACAGAATCATATTTAGCATGGTGGTATTCATTCACAATTTCTATATCTAGAATTTTCTTTGAGTTAGGATTTCATAATGTCCTGAGTGTCATGAGGGTTTATAGGGGGCAGGAGCTAAACTTAGGCTTAACCGAAAGGTCATTTTATTTCACTTTCATCAGTCAAAAATTTGATTTTTTATTTGTAAGGAATCTTGAACCAGTTTCGATATCCCATAGCACCATATCAACTTGCGTATGTTCGTTTCAGTTCATTTTGGTCTGTCAGATGCATTTCAGCCTTTCACCATTTCAGAGGTGGATTTGTGTCACAGAACTGATTTGACTCAACACTTTTAATTGAATGTACAAAATAAAATGCTAAATGTGCATATAAGCTCATTTAAAAACCAAAAAAATCGCCTCACACAAAATAACCCCCAACCTTTAACAAAACAGAAACTTATATCTACAAAAGAATGACAAAATTGTATATATGAACACACATATTTTATCAAAAGGAACTCCTAAATATGTATGAATAAACCAAAAACCCAGCTTAATACAGTCGACTCTTGACGAATTGAATCTCAAGGGGAAATCAAAAATTTTTAATCGAGCTTTGAGGGTTTTAGCCAGTTAATCCACTCACTGCGTCATACTTATCCCTATTTTTAAAAATTGTGGATAAGGGTTTTGGTGGTATGCTGAATTCTTTGACGATGTTGCCTCTTTTCTTAATGCCTTCATCTATCACTTTAATATTCTTGTGTTTCTCCTCCACGTTTACATCTTACAATGACGTTCCACAGATGTTTTTTGTACACAAATGAATAGCACATTAATAAGAAAGAACTTAAAAATAAAGCCTGATACGTGAAATGTGTGCTTTTGATGGTCAAAAATCCCTATCATTAAAAAAGGTATTTTTCCCTTCTGTTCAAAGCAGTTTTTTTCCTCTCATTTTGAATTAAAAATCCCTCCATATATGATGTAAAACAATTAATGTTCATCGTACTTTTTCTGAGAAAAGTTCCTTAGAAGGGTAAAAATGGTGTATTTTCTTGGGGTAACAAAAATTGCATAGCTTCTTAAGAGACTTCCTTCTAAATATAATTCTATTTTACATATTCAAGATTCAGAAAGCGGTAAATTAAAAAATAAAAATTGCAATCGCATTTTGCCTAAGGCGGGCGGCCCTTCTCAAAGTGATGTGCTCTCCTTAAGGCACCAAACAAAAACAAATGGTTATTACAGATAACCTGTTGACTGTTGTAGTTTATTCATCTATGATCATTTTATTCTGCCTATTTTATCAGACTTAAATGCTCAGAAATGATTAAACTACATTTCACCACCTTTCAGACTCTAGGAGAAAATATACCAATTTGTTGAATCATTCTTGGGTATTTTTCCATTAAATTTACAATATAACCAAGTAAGTTGTTAAGTCCGTTTATTTCCTGAGCTACAATAAAAATTTGTATTTACAAAAAAAAATTCGGATTTTTTTTGTACAGAATGTTTTGTTCTATCTAGATCAATCGTATGGAAATTTGCAAGAATATTAAATTTTATTGAAATATGTTCACTATTCCTCTTTCAACACTGACTTTCAAAACTTTGCCCTGCTTGTTCTTACTGATCATATTTCATAATTTTTTTATTTTTGTTTCGATTTATGCAAAATTGCGGCCTTGTCTTAATTTTGTAATATGAAGAAAACTGCGCAGTTTTGATCGTTCAGTGTTTGATATAGTAAGCATATGTGTGTCAGTTAAAGGAGTGACGTTTCAGGAAGAAAATTTTAATGCATAAAAATTTTTTGGGAGGTAAGTCACCATTTAATTATTAGTGTAATTTCATGGTATGTTTATCGTGTCAAACTCGTGTTTGATCAAAACTGCTTTTTGTATGAAGTTAAAAGTTTTAATGTATATTGTTGTCTTTTTAGTGTTTGCGGCATTCAATCATGCCACAGAACGAGTATATCGAGCGTCACCGTAAGCTCCACGGTCGCAGGCTCGATTATGAGGAACGTAAGAGGAAGAGGGAGGCGCGTGAGCCTCACAAGAGGGCAGAGAAGGCAAGGAAGCTACGTGGTCTCAAGGCCAAAATTTACAACAAAGAGAGGAGGAATGAAAAGATTCAGATGAAGAAGAAGATTAAAGCGCACGAAGAAAAACAAGTAAAACAGACGCACGAGAATGTCAAGGAGGGAGCACTTCCTGTTTATCTTCTGGACAGAGATGTTCAGTCTAGAGCTAAAGTTTTGTCCAACATGATCAAACAAAAGCGAAAAGAAAAAGCAGGAAAATGGGATGTGCCTATTCCCAAGGTTAGAGCCCAGGGAGAATCAGAAGTGTTTAAAGTTATCAAAACAGGAAGGACGAGGAGGAAAGCCTGGAAAAGAATGGTCACAAAAGTCTGTTACGTGGGTGAAGGTTTTACGAGAAAGCCACCAAAGTTTGAACGGTTCATACGACCGATGGCATTGCGTTTCAACAAAGCGCATGTTACCCATCCAGAGTTGAAAGCTACATTCTACCTCCCGATTATTGGAGTCAAGAAGAATCCGAATTCACCTATGTACACATCTCTAGGAGTTATCACCAAAGGTACCGTGATTGAAGTCAACGTGAGTGAACTCGGTCTCGTGACACAAGCTGGTAAAGTGGTCTGGGGTAAATATGCCCAGGTCACCAACAATCCCGAAAATGATGGATGTATTAATGCTGTTCTATTAGTATAAGTTATTCCTCATCATTGTACATTTTTATGAATAAATTTTTAAAAAATAATTATACTTTTTATTAATTACTACTTCCTTTTTTTTTGTCTTTTCTTTGATAATTTCAGGTAAATAACTAGTGAACTTTTTCAATCAATTTTTTAATGATGCCGATGAATTTTGGGGCCAATTTGGCTCCCTCTTCAGGACTTTGAGTAATAACAAACTTTAGCCAGAGTGGTTATTTACCTGAATCCATCAAACTTTTTATTTTTTATCAGAATCTGTTATTTTACACTACTTGCACAAGTGGAGTGTGATAAAAGATGGTAGCAACAAATACAATCTTGTGTATTGAACTTTCTTTACATTTTTTTGTTTATATTTTTAGCATTGGTGACAACATAAAGATGCAAGTCTTTGTAAAAACCCTCACGGGCACCATCGCCGTTGAGGTTGAAAGTACCGATACTGTTGAAAAACTAAAGCAAGCGATTGAAGTGAAAGAATCCATCAAGCCTGACCAACAGCGTCTTATTTATGGAGGCAAACAGTTGGAGAATGGCAACACGCTCGCTCATTACAATATCCAGAAAGAATCCACCATCCACCTAGTCTTTAGACTTCTTGGAGGTGCCAAAAAAAGGAAGAAGAAGAATTACTCTACACCCAAAAAGATCAAACACAAGAAGAAGAAGGTTAAGTTGGCTGTACTCAAATATTACAAAGTAAGTTACAAATAATCCTCATTATCTAAATATATTTTTAATTTTTTCCCCCCATTTGTGTAGGTTGATGAAAACGGCAAGATTAGCAGGTTGAGGAGGGAGTGCGAGTCTGAGGTATGCGGGGCTGGAGTTTTTATGGCTGCTATGGCCGACAGGCATTACTGTGGCAAATGCGGCTATACTCTTGTGTTTAATAAACCTGAAGACAAGTGATGAAAATTTTAAATGTTTACATATAAAATATTATACCGTTAATAAAAAACATTTTTATTCGGTATCTGCAATATTATACATCTAACCCCCTCACACTTCCTACCTAACTACCTTTAAAAAAAATCCAGCTGCATGGGCACATTGCTCTTCAAAATTATCTGACATTGTGGAATAAGTAGCTGGATTCTACCACAAACTTTCATTTTGTGCAATTTTGATAGTTATTCGTCTAGTTGATATTTCCTAATGCTTGTTAATAAAAACAAAGTTTATTATACATTATATATCTTGTAAAGCTGATAATGTTTCATGTTTTATTTTAGTTTTAAATGCAGATACAAATTCTGTAAGTGGGAGTAATTGCAGATTATAGATTACGACAAAAAGCAAAAAAAAGTTCTATGTAAGAGAAATTGAGTGAACAAACCCACCGATGAAGATTGCAAAAAGGCTATACATGTATGGATTTGGTGGACCAATATGATTGGTGTTGACATGTTTGTACTTAAGTTTTTAAAAATAGAACATTTTTATTAGTCAGGAAGTGAGTTTGAAAATATGAAACAACATAAGGTTAATAATTTTTAATACAAGTTGTTTTTGTATCATGAAAAGGATTTTTTAAATGAGTTGTAAGAGCAGGAGCCTTGAGAGTAGAAGGTGAAATAGAACCCAAGCCAATGGATGGATGGTCTACGCATCGCCATTATTGCAAAAAAAAGTGATTATGCTGAAAGATAAAGAGATGATAGTCAAGACGGTTACAGAGGAAAAAATGAAGTCTACTCTAAAGAAATATGTTAGAGCGGCAGCTAACAAAATGTGCATTCTGGAAAAGCTGGGTATAATAAGCCTGAACTGGAAAAGGAATATTTACGAATGAAGTTTATGTGAATGATTAGGCCTGGGTGTATCAGGGTTTCATTTCAGTTACAAATAGCTAAAGGATTTTTATCATAATTGGAAATCGCTATTCCTAAGGTAGGCAGTTATTCCAGTTTATTCAAACATTTCAGTGCATTACGTGGGGTGAAATTTTATCATACTACAACTTACCACCCACATGCAATGGTAAAACAGACAGACTACATCAAACTATAAAAACTACTTTGCAAGCGCATATGTTAAAATAGATGGAATCATTGCCCACAGTTCAAACAACTATTTTTTTGAACTTAATTCATTAATTAAAATTATTTTGAATGTTATTCATTTATATTTTTATTACATTAACTGTGGGTGTGCACCTCAGAGGGTAGGTTATGTAGTAGTCTAGTCAGCCACTGCCTTGCTCACCACAACCAGTAACTGGTCTACTGTGCATCTCCATTTTTTATTTTTAACCTAGAGCTTCTTGTTAAGCTTAAGGTTTTTAACCAGACCCCAAAGCTTTTTCAAGGGCTCCCATGTGTATCCTTCAGGCCATGGCTTTTCCTCTCCCATGATTAGGAATCAGCCTACATAGACCTTCACACCAACAGAGGACGTGTTCTGCTGTTTCTTCTTCTTCTTGGCAATATCTGCACAGGTTTGTTTCTGACCCTCCAAGTCTATACATATATTGATGAGTGCAGTATCCAATCAGCAGCCCAATTATTATTCTAGTCCTAGCATTTCCTAGATTTAGTAGTTCTGCCATTATTTTCTGTGTGTGGTGATTAATGACCGTTAATCGATAATTATTCAGAAATCGTGAGATGCAGCCTGGTGTGATGTAGGTTTCAAAAAAACATTTTCCTTTATCATGCCAACGTTTCGATCTTTATTGAGATCATCTTCAGGGCTCAAAGTGTTTGTCTTCTGTGTACTTGTGCCATTCTTGCGTGTCGTGTTGAGAGTGCCCCACACGACATGCAAGAATGGCACAAGTACACAGAAGACAAACACTTTGAGCCCTGAAGATGATCTCAATAAAGATCGAAACGTTGGCACGATAAAGGAAAATGTTTTTCTGAAACCTACATCACACCAGGCCGCATCTCACGATTTCTGAATAATTATTTTTTGTGATGGTCCTTTGATAAACGTTTTACATGCCTTTGTCCTGGGCTACATTTCCATTGCACGCAGGCCTTATTTTTAATCCATTGTCTAATGGAATTATGATTTTGGCAGTTTGATAAGCCACAAAAGGGTTCAGGGCCAATACGTGTCCCATCGAACTTTTCTTGGCCAGGGATTTATCAGCCTCTTCTTTGCCCCTGTGCCCTTTGTGCCCTGGTACCCAGACAAGGGTAAATTTTGCCCAATGTCTGACAGGGTTCTAATGCAGTTCCAAATGACTGGACTTTACTGCCAAACGCAGCAGTTGCCTTCAGTGCTGTCCAAGTAGATGGCTGTTCTTCTATTGACAATACCCAGCCTTTTTTTCTCTCTGGCAGAGTGTTCAATAGCCACAGTTTCTGCTTAAAAAGCGGTGGCAAATTGCCTAAAGCTTATATGAATCCTAGTCCTTGGTTTATTTACATAAATGCCTGCTCCTGACCCATACTCAGTGTTGAAGCCATCTATAAACCTGATATTGTCAGCATTAATTGGAATCTCTTTCTCCCCGTCTGCTCTACAAGGTATTTTGATTAGAATTTTTTGTCACAACAGAATTTAGGGGTCATGGCATCAGCAGGCATACCCCGATTTCTGTCTATCTGAAGCTCCCCTCGAAGCCCCTAGTGGGTAATGAACCTGTAGTTAATAATTATTTAGGTCCGCCTGTCTACAGTAGAAGACAGAAGTAGACTAAACGGAAATCACACAAACCCAGGTCTAAGGAAGGTGAAAAGCAGAAATGCATCTGACAGACCAAACCTGAGTCTGATCGAAATGAAGGAAAACGACCAAACTACAGTTGTTAATACTTGATAACTTCAAATGCTTGAAAGTGAAAAAAAGTGCAAAATAGGAAAAAAATTAAAACATATTTTTCAAAGATTATATTTCATACATAAATAAGCAATGTTAATGTTTTAAATAAGATTTAATTTAAAGTAGATATATACCGAGATGGGGTTGTATGCCTGTTAGAAATCCGTTTCTGGAACATGGAACAAATTAAATTAAGGGTTGTACTAATGAGACTTACTGAATGGCTTACCAGTTGTCAAATTGCGCGGGCAGAACATTCTGGTGCAAGCCTTTTTTCCATTTGAGGTACATAAACACCTATTGCAGTCTTCTTTCCACCGGTCGCCTGGTCTGCAGGCTTAGAGACAAAAGAAATTAGGATAGAAAGATAATCTATCTTACATGTGGAACATAGACATGTACTGAAAATGCTACATTAGAATAATCAAGGAGTAAACATGAAAAAGTAATGTCAAAATATACAATTCATCTTTACATTTTCTTAACAATACTCATTAAAACAGTTCTTAACAAAAATACATTTTCAGTATTTTTATTTTCAAAATTTATGATATTTATGAATTATAATATTAATACAATAAAATATTAAAATATTGTAAACTTGCTATTGCTCCCATTTTAGTTTCCAATTTTATACATATCCATAGGAATTATTCTTCTACTTAAAAATATAGTTCTAATTTTTAAAAATGGTAATAAAAGGAACATTTGTAATTATAGACCAATTTGTATACAACCTGCTGTAGGCAAAGTTTTTGAAAGTGTATTAAATTCCTTAAACCCAATATTTAAAAATGTTATTATTCCAAATCAACATTACATTTTCGTTCGTAATTAACCAACTTGCTATTTCAAGATTATATATTACAATCTTTTTCCGAAGGACTACAAGTTGATTGTATATTTAAACTGACTTTTCAAAAGCTTTTGATAGCATTGATCATACAGATTAATTAAATTCTTTTCAAGTAATTAATCTTTAAGTATTGGTTAAGATTTAAAATATATANTATATATATAAAAGGTGAGGTAGAGTTGGGGAGTTGGTGTGTGAGTGGATTGAAGTCACGATGGCTCAAGTGGTTTGAGCAGCAGCGTATTCAGCCGAATGTCATAGGTTCGAATCCCACTTGTGGCATTGACTTTTTTCTCTTGACCAATACCATACTTAAAGATTAATTAATTGAAATCAAATCTGTATTATCACATAGTTTTCTAGCAACTTCAGGAGTTCTTCAAGGGTTACACTTAGGGCCTTTTCTTTTTACAATTTATAACAACAATATCTCTGATTCTCTTCCATTCGTTATGACCCTACTTTTCACAGATGATTTTAAAATAATATTAAAAATTAATTCTATTTCTGTCTGCTTACAACTTCAACATGCCTTAGTAAAATTTAATAAACGGTGTTCAACTAATAATGTTCTTTTAAATTCTGACTGTTCAGTTATGACTTTCCATAAAATATCCTATCAAATTTAACTACGCTATATCGGACAATTAGACGTGAACTTGTTAAAGATCTCGGCATCATTATTAACAGTTGGACAAACTTAACACAAACATTAATAAAACTATGTAATTCTAAAGCAAATAAAGCTCAGGATATATTACACATCATAATAAACATTTCCGCTGTAAGACCAATATCGGATCTTTGGGCTCCTTTTCAATCCATCTTTATCAGTCGCATAGAAGCATTCAAAAAAGAATTTTTCACCTGATACATTACAGAACAATCGGAGAATACAGTGATACACCAAACTCTGAAATTGATGATTGTTCGAACAGAGGGAAATTCTTTGGTTGCATTTTATTAAATAAATTATTACATTCCTTAACTGATTGCCCATTACTGCTTAAATGAATTGACTTTCATGTTCCATCTCATCATTCTAGAAGTCAAATAACATAGTAATTATGCCAAATTCAATTTTATACCAAGATCAACTCGTTCAAAAATATAGATATATTTAGTGTCAGTTTAAGCAAATTTAAACAAATTTTATTATTAGAAAATTAAATGTTGTATAATTTATTAATTAAATAATTAAATCTACAATTAAATAATAATTGATGATAATTATATTGTTTTAACACAAAATTGAAATTTTTTAAATTTATTTTAGATTTAAAAAAAATTATTATAAGTATTTCTAAATTTATGTACAGTTATAATTTTTATACTTTTATTGTATACATTTGGAATTGGGAAACTCTAAAAAATAATATAAGTAATAAATAAGATCTAAGTTTCAATATAAATTTTTTAAAAATTAATTACTCACTTTCATTTTTCACTACAATCACATCTGCATCTTTTTCTGCTTCTAGAAAAATAATTTCAAGTAAGAAATAGTTTGATAGACATAATTTAAAAACATGTATGTTATGTGGTGCTAAATTTAGATGATTGATGTTTTGTTTTTATTCTGATCTTTTAGTCTCATTGCGCTGTTTATAATTGGCCGATGACCCAAAAATTACAGAATAAATAAATATTTATGCCACAAAACACTTTTTTTTTGCCACCACACATTTATAATAAATTTTAAAAAGAATATTGATTTTTTTCACAATGTAGGAAATATGTTAAATTTAAAAAGAAAAATCACCAAAAATAATATTTCCAAATCACCATATTGTCGAAAAGAAAATTAAAAGTAATAGAGAATAAAAAAAAAATACTAACTTGCTGTGTGTTGTAACAGAAACACGACGAAGAACAAGGCAAATGCAACTTTCATTATGTCCAAGTTTCACAACAGGACGAGAAAAACGTTTTATTCGTTGATTATAAGCTGAGATTAGATTAGGGACACCTGTTGTCTTTTTATTTTTCTGCAGATAACTTTTGTTCAAAACACTGTCGTTTCTATAAGCCTCAATTGAATTACGTGTTTGTTTGTTTTCTTTTCTTATATAGGGAATTGAATATTTTTTTCTTTTTTAACATTGTAACTTAAAATTAAGTTTTCATTTGTGATGTGGTTATCATTGATTTCTCAAAACAACTGAACCAAATAAAAGATAATTAATCTATGCAAAAATGAAGAGAATACTTCTCTATAAAAAAGTTAAATTTTCTTGAATCTATATATAAAAATACTTATATTCAATGAATAAATTAAAAAAATATATTTCTGCTTGTTCATTTTGATTTTAAAGAATTACCATTTAGCATTAAATTGATATGTGGGAATTATGGGCTGGAATTTTTTTTCCAGCTTTATGTTATTAGCCATGGTATAAGTATTATTATTAGTATTAATCATTAACAATCATTTAATTTTTATAGATGCTTATTTTTGTGCAAATAATATTTGTCATCTTTGAATTCTTGGAAGATTAACCAGAGAATCTCAACTGCATGAAAAATATTGATATCTTAAGTAGTTGGTCCAAATCAAATCATCAATATAAAAAATTAATTTTTGTATAAAAGATTTAAAATAAACAATCAATATCACATGAACTTGTGGCCTTTGGTTTTATCTCAAATTTCATGTTCAAAAAATAGTAATTTCATTCGATAAATAATCATTCATTAAAAAAAAAAAAAAAAAAATGCTTTAGATGGCAATGAAAATTGCAGTGGTACACGTCAATCAAGTCTTGTTCGACAGGGTTATGGAGGGAAACAGCAACAGAACCAGTATTCTTCTGGCTGCAGTCAAGAAACACTGTGCAGATACTGCCAGTAAGAAGGGAGACTGCAGAACACATTTTATATTTTTTCAAGTTCTAGGAGAGGAAAAACTGCAAGCAAGATCCTACACTAAGGAGCCGCTGCAAGGCTATGGCGATTGATTAAAAACCTGAAGCTCCCCAGTGATTTATAAAATTACAGGAGCAAAATAGATCTACTCAGGTCGAAGTGCAGAACGCCTTGTGGCCACCTCTTTTATCCCTAAATCTATCCTTCGCCCCAGTATACTAAATTTCCAACCCCCTTTCCCTCGATTTTATTTTATTTATTATTAAAAATAATTATTATCTTTAAAACTTAACAATTATTAATCAATTTAGTTGAAAGTTAGTGGTTGGTCAAAAGTATTGATTGCTTAATTTGTAAATAGTAAATATGTAATATTTAGAATTTCAGTTGAAAGTTTTAAAGTAAAAACGATTTCTTTTTTATGTGTATATGTATCAAATAAATCTTAAAAAATAAAATATTTTGTATTCAGTGACAAAATGAATTTTTTTATTGACTGCAATGACATCATTGTATCCCAATCAATGGTTACTGTTGAAGGCATGGGTTATCAGTGGTTATGATTGTTGATTCGTAACCATAACAATCTGGACTTCAAAAGTCGTGGTTTGATCATTTTTGATCAAGAACTTTTTTTTTGATTAGGTAAGAGAATACATTGATTACTAATATTACTACTACTACATTACTAAATAATGTTTTTTTTCTTCTTTTTTCCAGGCTCGTAAAATACTGTTCAGAAATGGTTGTTATGCATGTCAAGGTTGGGGACGAAAGTCAGTTCCTATTTAACACTTCTGTCAGTTGTAAAACAAGCGATATTATTAACGATGTTGCCATAATTTACAACGGAAGGCTCAAAGTCAGCCGGATCTGCTCTGGTAAGGTTTCCAACGAATTGTCTTTTACAAATTCAATCTTGTACCATTTTCAGAAATGGAGGAGATGGCGAAGCACGGCACGACATACCCTCCGGAGATCCTTGGGCTAACGGAGGAACAGGTCGAGGAGCTCAAGCTGAAAGACGAATGGGGTGAAAAGTGCGTCCCGCACGGCGGCTGGGAGTTGAACAAAGACCCGATCGGCAGGAGGAACGGGAAGCAGCCCAATGAAAAAGGCCAGGAAATCTTGCGAAAGACTATCGAAGAAGCCAAAGCTGTTGTTTCAAAGGTGTGACAACCCAAAAAAATATTTTTTTTCAAACTATTTACTATCATTAGATTTCCTCTTGGGGTCTGCAGTGCAATGAACGAGGATAGGCACACCAAAATAATCGAAATGGTCAAATTGCACTTTACTCCCTAGACCAAAATATTTTAACAAATTTTATATCATATTATACCATGTCATTGCATAAACTGGTGAGAATCTAATTTTTTTTGCTTTAGTAGTTTCCAGCTCTTCAGTTTTATGAAGTTAATATTTTGAGATTCCTGCTTCTTTATTCTGCACTTACATATATCAGTTGTACCACTTCTTGCAATTCCATCTTGTTTTTCTTGGGCCTCGAGAATTCTAGCTTTTGTAATTTACAATAAATTACTGGCAGACTTTGACAGTCAACCAACTCGGGTGTTGACAGTACGATGTCAGAGTGGTCTTATCTGTCCAGCCACCCAGGTTGGGCTCCATGGTCTTTCAACAGCTAGGTCATTTCAGCCCCCAACGCAATCCGCTCCTAAATCAAAACCCATTCTCATTCACTCTTAAATACATTCTTTCTTATTTACATACACTTAGGAATGCTCAATATTCCTCCATCACCTTTTACCTACTATATAACTAACCTAATTGAGTGTTGATTGGTCAATAATACACCATTGGCCCTCTCACACTACACATTCACTCTAATAAATTCATTCACTCTCAACACATGCTAAGTTCACAAAACTATCAGTTCTTTGTACAATTAATTATACGCTTTATCTAAGGTCTTGGTTGAGATGAAAAAGCTACTGTCACCAGCGGGTTTCGAACCTACGACCAGCTCAATTGGCTCTAAGGATTGGTTGAAATGAAAAAGTACCTTTAGATAAAAAGTATAGTTAATTAAAATAATTAATATTGTCAATTACGATTACTAAATACATATATGGATTAACATAATATTTTGAAATATGAGGCATGATTTGAAAAAAGAGGGAAAATTTGAAGGTTGTAGGTTAAGAGTTGGTGTTTGTGTGGATCAAAGTCATGATAGCTCAAGAGGTTAGAGCAGCGGCGTATTGAGCTGAAGGTCATGGGTTCAAATCCCGCGTGCGACACTTTGTTAATACAGTCACTTATGACTACTAAATACATATATTGACTAAACAACCCTGTTTCCTCCAAGCATTGAATAGGGGCCTCAGTGCTGTGCTCAAGCACAATTCTCATATCGGATGGCATTCCTATGCGCTCTCCATATGGAGTGAAGGAATCACACCCTTCAATTAAGTGGGACGTATCGAGCAGCCATTTTCTTCATGGACACATTACCCAGCTTTAGCCCAAAACTGTCTGTGTGTCAACCTCGCACGGCCTATTCTTTATTTGGTGAGGATGACCATTCTTCTACGAATTAGATCTTACGAAAGCCATCTATTGACCTCCTATTATTTTAATAATATTTTTAGTGCATTTTTAATGTAGAGAAGAAGTGGATTGTGGTGGCTAAGTCCGGAGGTTGAGATGACGTGGACTTAACTGCCATGTCCGCTTATATTTTACTCTTCAGACCTTTGTGTCTTGGTACACAGTCAACCACTGTTTTGTCGAGGTGCTCCCATGGGTATCTGAACAAAAAAAAGAAGCACAATGACAAGGTCAATGCAGAAACTGTCACATACAGCAGTAACTGTGCTGAGGAGAATCCCTTCATATTTATATGTTAATTGCACAACTTACACTTGAAAAGGTTGAAAACTTATATAATAAATTATGCACTCAATACAGTAATGAAATCTGATAGAAAACAATACAGTTTCAATTCAAATTTTCACCTTGGATTGTTTTTTTAACAAAAGTCAGACTCACCTGCATGGCATAATATGTATTAAAAAAATATATTTTTGTTGTAGAAAAAAGTTCAAGCAAATGTCTGCATGACTCAGAAGGATGTCCAGGAAGCACTTGATATGCTGAAAGGTGCTACTATGATAGTCTATCCTATGGGGTTGCCTCCGCACGAACCGATCAGACAGGAGCTTGAAAACACCGAGGACCTTTCGGGTACTCAAGCTTCACGCGAGGTAGTTTACTTACTAATTTGCCATTGTTTAATAAGCAACATATAGAAGGCTTCTTTTCAAAATGAATATTGATATGAATAATCTCTCTGTTAACCTTGATTGATTACTTTGGAGATTTGAAGGATTTTGGCCTCCCTGGCGCTTTCACAATAAATTTTAATAATTTAATTATTGTACAAGAAATTATTATCTGAAATTGGTCTTAAAGTACCTACAAAACACTTCTCTCTCATAAATTATTCCATTGCTACTCTCAGAGATATGGTTCAAAATTTTGTTGCTCTCTATGTTATGTTATTAAGTTAATTTACATGGTGATAAGGCTGGCCAATACAGTGCCCATCTGACTGTCTTTATTTAGAAGATGGTCTTGGAATCAGTTCCCAATTGAAAAGTTTGTTTTCAGTGTTCCTCTTATCTTAAGTTTTGATTCTAATTATTCAGAAAAACTGCGAAAAAAATGTTATTAGTTGCATTTTATGTGCTGTTTGTCTGTACTGTAGAATTTTACAATAAATAAGTTTTTTTTTTCAGGTGATCGATATTGCTTTAGCTCAGCTTTGGTTTTCTGGAAAAGAAATTTTGAGAGGGAAAGAACTCAAAGATTACGTTGGTGCTAATGAAAAGACCAAAATAACAGTGAAACTTACAGCGGTATAAAATTTAATTTTTTACAATTGTTTGATTTTTTAAATAATTTTTTTTTTTAAATTATAGGCTGGTCGAGGCCCACCAGGCAGGGAGCCGGTTTTCTCAGAAGAGGAGAAAAAGAAGATGATGCTTGATGCATACAGGCGCCAGGAAGAATTAAAGGTAGGATGTTTTTAAATTATATTAATGAAAAATCATAGATCTTGTCATGCTTCGCT